GCGGCTTCCTCTTCAGTCGGTTTGTGAGGCAGTGATTCGAGAACTTTAGCGATCTGTGTCTCATAGTGCTGCAACTGTTGACCAAGTTTTCTTTTCAGGAATAAAACCGAGGATAAAACTGTCTACCTGGAGTAAATGCGAGTGATCCAGCCTTATGGGACCGTCCTGAATGTTGAACGAGTAATTACAGAAAAAAAATTAAAATTCTTCCATGAAATTGACAAACCTTTCTCAACGATTGTAGCCATTCTTGAAGCTCAGGAAGTGCATGCCAGAGTCTTACAAATTCGGACTTGTTCGATGACGACCTAAGTGCGTCTTCCAACTGAGAAACCCTTACACTTAACGCTTTCTCACGCAGCTGGACATTCACAAGCTGCCCTTCCTTTTTCATGAGTTCCCTGGAAATGTCACAGTATTTTACACGGAAAGCGAGAAGGGTTGAAGCCACCTCTTAAGGCAATTAACTCTGTACTGCGCGTCTTCCAATACCTTGCGCTGTTGTTCAAACATCCTGTTTGAAACATTACGAGATGTTTCTACTTGATGATTTCGTGCGTTGCATGAACTGTTCATGTCAGATGCTCACCTCTCTCTTCTCCTGTATTCAAACACTTCTTTTGTCAGGTCCTTTTTCTCTCGTTGAAGCCTGGATACCTGTTTTCGAGAGCAGTCAACTGTATGAGCTTCTCCGTCCTGCAGTAAACATAGGACAACTGATGCTAGAACTATGAGCTGAAATTACTGACTGGATCATCCGTTTGGTTTTGATGTTGTTGAGGTGTGTGGGGACTTTTTTTGGACATGTCATTTTTGTTTTGTAGCATCTGCATCTTCATTTGAAGTATCTGTAGAATACAAGAGTTGAAAGCAAAGAAATGAGATGTTTTGGTGAACCTTGAGCTCATATTCCGTTGCAGACTCCAGTAATGCTATTTGAAGCTCTTCAAGTTGCTTCTTAAGTTGGCTAGTCGAATCCTTGCCCTGTGTGTGTCAGTTGGCAAGTAAGAAAGTGCGATGGCTAGAAAGAAGCACCATCGAGTAGCACCTTGATGAAACTCGGAGGGTTTTGCTTTGAAGGGGGCCATTTTTTTCTCTCTTCACCTGCAAAAATAGCTACCTCTTTGAACAAAGCCTTCAAGCTGGTCGGTAACGTCTAGGAGTGAAGCAAACCATTTTAAAATATAGATTGGATTATGGTGGAACTCACTCTTGTCTCCCTCGTCACAAGTACAATCCGGTTTGTCACGCTTATTATCTTGAATCTGCACTGATATGATCTGTTTTCGAGGTTTTTTCTTTAGTGGCATGGCTTTGACTCCATATAGATGCTTCAGAACACCTTTTCTTTTGGTGGAGACTCTATCCGCAAACTCTTTGGTCATCAAGGGAGCCCATTCAGGGAGCATTCTTGTCTCCTCCTTCTCTCGGACAACAGTATCTTCGGGACAGCCTTTTTGTTGTGGTTGTGGCGAGCGAGGGGACACAAAAGTATCATCTTTTGTGGAATCCTGGGAAACTCTTACACCAATATTTTCCAGCGTTTCTTTCATGTCAGTGGTCCTCTTGTGACACTGTGACGTGTCCTTCGCCAAGGCCTCTTTCAGCCTTGCGTATTCCATAGCACGTTGTTCCTGAACATCATTCCATGAATGAAGCATTTTCTCTAAACCATCGGCAATGTCTTCTAGCGTGTCATAGTCGGCATTTGAGAGATCCATGGCATCTTTCAGTGCAGACTGAAAATTTCTACTTATACCTTCAAAATCACTATTTTCTTTTTCATTTTTTACTCGAATTTCAGCACCTGTCATTGTCCTCTCGACCCACCAGCCAAAGAATTCCGGTTTCACGAGAACCCACCGACGGATTCAACTGCTTTTCCAGAATATGCGATGTAAGCTCTTGACGTCGCTGACATGGCAGCTAAAGCTCAAAAGTTGACGGGTATACCACTTGGCAGGCTGAAGGAATATGCTCAACTGTCTGTTTAATCTAGGTTTTGGGATGGCGGCAAGCTCGTGTAGCGCCAGGGGTTTTCGAGATGTACGTTACAACGAGCTATACGAGGGATATAATGACTACGACGAGCAGATCAGGTTCCTCACGGCTAGGCCACAGAGGGTGAGGCTTTTCCCCGTATCTGTTGGTGAATTATTTTATATATGCAGCCGGTAGCAGGTATTGTTGAAAATCTAGACGCAAGGGGGGAGTTTACAGTATATGACCATGTCGCACCTCTATCCGCTTCATCAACTGCTTCAGAGTTTTTGGTAACTAGCTGAAAATGCATCTATTAATGCCGTTTCAATCTCTATAGGGAGGGAAGGCCTTGTCACCACCGGACTTCTTCAATTTGGATCATACGAGGACTCCAACCCCACAGAATGCACTATACTATAGACCACCTAGTGTTGGAAGAGCACGGTCAGTTTCTAGCTCTTCCCTTACAGCGTTTGACAGACCCATGACGGCTGTAAGGGCAGCTGGCTATACCTCCAGAGTAAGTCAACACTTGACGAAGTTTTCCCGCCTGACGGCTTTGGCAGGGTACCAAGTTCGATCCTTTGAATCAAGGTGCACGTTTAACAAACGCGCAGAAAAGGGACGAACTCAATCCTGAATATCAGGTTCGCGAGCTGGAGAGTCAGGTCAATCAGATGCTGGAGGAAAGTGCCACTGCCAGCTTTCTGGTAAGCTCTCTGGTGATAATACTGCTTACATCTTTATTCTAAAGCCAGGGTCAATATGCCACTGCTCTGGAGAAAGCTAAAGAAGCTGGAAAACGCGAAAGGAAGCTCTGCAAACATCGAGAGCAGACGGGCTTGGTATCAAATTCCAAGTCATATTTTCCCCTTCCCACTGACAACTGGCTATTTTTATAGGCTGATCAAGTGAATACCGAGCTGACTTTCGCTGTCTGTTTTAATCTAGGATATCAATATGAAATGAACCGTTTACACTCGGAAGCGTTGAATACCTATTCACAAATCGTGAAGAGCAAGCAAGTAGGCAGCATATTTACTATTTGGACTTTTGACCTTTCAAATCCTGCAGTTTCCACAGGGTGGAAGGTTAAGAGTAAATATGGGGAACATTTACTATGAACAAGAGAAATATGCACTTGCAGTAAAAATGTATCGCATGGCCCTTGATCAGACTCCCAATTCGTACAAAGATACGCGATACAAGATCATGCGCAATATTGGCATCTCTTTGATGCGTACTGGCCACTACCAGGTAGGTTTCGATGTTATCATCCAACCCTGTAGTGCGGTCGTGGTTGTGAGCAGGATGCTGTTCAGTCATTTGAATCATTGATAGACATCACGGTCGACCATCACGCGGCTTACAATCTTCTAGTTTCCCATTATGTTTTGGGAAATTGTTCCAAAATGAGAAGCTGCTTTACAAAAATGCTCTTAGTGAAACACTATGATCCGGAGCGTGACGATGACATTGAGCCCGATCATACGGCCGTGTTTCGGGTGGGTCCGTTTCCACTGTCCTTTGGCATGCTTTGATGGTTCTTTTATCTTGCAGAGGGACGAGTTGCGGCAGGAGCTACATGCAAGACAAAATCAGGCAAACAGGCTCATACTAACATCTGCGAGAATTATTGCTCCTGTTGTTGGAAATTCTTTGGTAGAGGGTTATGATTGGGTCATCGAGTTGCTACAAGACCAGCAATATGTGACCCTTGCACACGAAATGGAAATGGATAAAGCCCTTCAACACCTACATCAAAGAGACTTTCAACAAGTAATCCATGATTCATATCTGGTAGTTTCTGAAACTTATTTTCCCAGGCCATAGCATTGCTAAAAGAATTCGAACGAAAGGAAAGAGATTTGCAAGCACGAGCAGCAACAAATCTGTCTTTCTTATATTTCTTGGAGGGTGATCTGGCGAACGCGGAGAAACACGCGGAGCTTGCTGTTTTAAACAATCGGTTCAACGCTTGCGCCCTAGTCAACCAAGGAAACTGCTACTTTATGAGGGTAAGAAGCAGATCGTATTTCATCCTTTCATATTTTGTACCAACAAAACAGGGCGATCCTGAGCGCGCAAAGCAAGTCTACAAAGGCGCTGCAGACGTGGACCCTGATTGCGTGGAGGCACTTTATAACCTGGGCCTTGCGTATAAGAAACTAAATTCTTTTGAGGAAGCATTGAGCGTATTCAAGAAAATAAGTTACGTTCTTCCGAATAATACCGAAGTATTGTTTCAGGTATATTGTATTCTCATAGCATTTCCTTGATTTTCTTGATCTTTGTCATGGGCGTGGCAGATTGGACAAGTGAGTGACGTTATGGGAAACTCTCGACAAGCAATAAAGTGGCTAGAGCTCTTGGTCTCGAAAGTGATGCATGATGCAGGCCTTTTAGCTATGCTGGGAAACCTCTACGTGCGCTGTGAAGATGATGCAAAGGCTCTTCACTACTTCAGCGAGTCGCACAGAGTGTGTCCAACGGATGTGGTTGTCACTGCGTGGTTGGGGTCTTTTTATCTGCAGAACGAGTTGTACGAGAAAGCAATGCCTTTCTTCCAACTAGCGTCACGCATTCATCCTGACGAGGTAGTCAGTTTGAGCAGTCCAGAGCCTGAGTCTTTTCTTCTCCGTAGGTGAAGTGGAAGCTAAAGGTGGCGCTGTGCTTACGACGAACGGGTTCATTTTCAAAGGCACTTCACAAATACAAGCAAATTCTTAACGCACACCCAGACAATGCAGAGTGCTTGCACTGTTTGGTGCACCTTTGCACAAGTCTTGGCAGGAAAATGGAAGTCCAGGCTTATGAGAGCAAACTGTGGAAGGTGGATCAGGATCATCAGAGGCAGACGGGCAGCAGCATGGCTTGTTTTGGGCAATGCCCACGACGAGTTGGGTACGACAGTGTCAAGTCCTCTGGAAAAGCCAGGGACGAAGATTGGGAGCTTACGGATGACTTACTCCCGATCTGAAACATGCTGAACAAGAAATTTGTCAGTGGCATGTCGAGGCCCACTTAAAGTCGGTCAAATGCGAGGGAGATCAACCCTAGGCATGGATGCGCCTGCGGCGCTGCTGGCGGTCCTTGTGGTGTGGTGGGCGGCCGCGGGAGCAGCCGGGCAGTGGGCGTGGCTCGGCCGCAAGCAGCTGCTGCTCCAGGCGTCCCCTGAGCAGGTGAGAGTCGCTCGCAACATATATAGAGAGAGTTGTAGTGCTCACAGACAGCGCGGGGGCGTATCCAGGTTCACGTGTCTCTAGCCGGCCTCAAGCACATCCGAGTGACATGGATCACGGCAGCCGGCTCCAACCTCCCGGCCAAGGTCGACTACGGCACCGCCCCAAACACTTACACCGCATCCGCAACTGCGGATGGCTCCTCCTCCTACTTTTACATGCTCTACCGATCGGGGACCATCCACAATGCTGTCATCGGTCCCCTCGAGGACGACACGCGCTACTTCTATCGAGTTGCTGGAGCTGGAGGCCGCGAGCTGAGTTTCAAGACACCGCCCAAGCTCGGGCCTGAGGTGCCAGTCACGTTTGCGGTCGTCGGTGGGTAACACACGCTTGTCCGTCCCAAGCCAGCTCCACATTTTGTGCTTTTTTAGGTGACCTGGGGCAGACGCGGTGGAGCGAATCCACTCTTGCCCACATCCAGCAGTGCAGTTACGATGTGCTCCTGTTTGCGGGCGACCTTTCGTATGCCGACTACTACCAGCCGCTGTGGGATTCGTTTGGCAGGCTCGTGGAACCAGCGGCAAGCTCGCGACCGTGGATGGTGACCCAGGGAAACCACGACGTGGAGCGGATTCCCTTGCTTGCCCGGCCCTACAAGGCTTACAATTCCCGCTGGTCCATGCCTCACAGCGAAAGCGACTCGCCCTCCAACCTCTTTTACTCGTTTGATGTTGCTAGCGTTCACGTTGTCATGCTCGGCTCGTATGCGGCCTACGACCAGCGGTCGGAGCAGTATGCGTGGCTCCAAGTTAAGTGCTTTCATTCGTCGGGTGGACTAATTGTGCAGGTAAACGGTGACAGGAAGATTTGAACAAGGTGGACAGGAGCAAAACGCCTTGGCTTATTGCCGTTGTTCATGCACCATGGTATAACTCCAACGCCAAGCACCGGGGAGATGGAGATGGGATGATGCATGCACTGGAGCCCATGCTGCGCGAGGCCAAAGTTGACATTGTTTTCGCGGGGCACGTTCACGCTTACGAGCGAACGGTTCGGATTCTTGCCATTGGTCATGTAATTGTAATCCCGATGTGCTATACATATTTCTGCAGGCTCGTGTCTACAGCGGCCAGCTCGACGAGTGCGGAATCATGCACATCACAATCGGAGACGGCGGAAACCGCGAAGGACTGGCCCGACGATTCAGGGATCCACAGCCGGAATGGTCCATCTTTCGGGAGGCAAGCTTCGGCCACGGGGAGCTGCAGGTGGTAAACGCAACGCATGCGCACTGGTCCTGGCATCGAAACGACGATGACGAGGCGGTGGTGGCCGATAAAATCACCATCACCAGCGTCACTGCGTGCACCACCCCCTCCCGCTCCTCGTGAATGTATGTATAAGCCTATTGTCATGCCAAGATACAATGTGAGCGTTGTTACTCCTAGACAAGCATTCCTGGGCTGGGCTCAAAAGTGCTTGAGAAAAAAGTTGCTCATTCAAGGCTTCTTATCACCAATTATAATCTGCTCATCATAGCCCGCGCTAGTAAAGCACACTCCCCTCTGGATACTTACCCGAGTGACGGTCACTTTGTTCGCCTGGGGAGATAAATTCCTTCCGCAGCCAGCCAGACGTTGTCAGCGCTCTTCTTTTGGACACCACACACCTGTAACACAGACTTAAAAACGACACAAGACGGAGAATTCTTCATGTTACCTCCAACTGTCCCGCAACTATTCTGGTGTACTTGTTGTCGTGGCTACTGTGAAGGTAGCCACCCGTGTCCATGTGATACAACCGGACCTTGAGATCTTTGGTCCAGGTCTTTTCCTTGCCCTCAATCTCCAATCTAGAAACAAGCGGGGACAAGGTTTTTTAGTAGAGCGGTTGACATAGATACAGGTTGTACCTCCAGGTATCTCCCGTGTCACTCACATCTGGACTGCCGAATGCGCTCACCTGCAGACATGGCACAGCTGAGGCAGGGGATAGAAAAAGCAGAGTCACCTCGAGGTTCCCAGTGAGGGGCGACTGATGCAGATGGCTGTGGAGCCATCTTCTCGTTCTCATGTGCTGAAGGCGCACAATGGACCCCTCAGCAACGCCGTCTCCTTGCTGGGCTTCACTTTGGGGCCCGGGCTTGACAATCTGGGAGGGGACGAACAAGTTAGAAGAGTAGCGGGCATGCACACTCCCTTACCCAGTAGCTATTACCATCGTTGACGTGGGGAAAGGCAGTCACAGACTGCTGGCCACTGCCAGAACCATAGGGAACCTCGTGTGAGTGCAGCCTGAACTTGGTGCTCGCATGCTGCAGCTTGATCACACTGCCGTACGTCACCTGAGCTTTGTTTCTTTAAGGCTGGTCTAGACACACAGGAGCGCTACTTACTAGTTGGCTGCTTGGCGGGGCACCGGCATCCACATCCGAGCGGGCGTCGCTGGTGAGCCACAGAAAGGCGAGCAAGGCCGACAACCAGGCAGCTCCCATGGCCACGCACGCCCACGCCACAAGGCGGCCGCGTTTGCGAGCAGCTGCTGGGAGATTTGGGCGGCGCCTCACCACCTCAGCAGCGGCAGCAGCGGCAGCAGCAGCTCCTCCCCCTTGGCCGGCGCGCTTCGACTGCCGCAGTGTAGACGCCAGCGCTGCGCCACAACCTTATACTTAGGGCAGTCAGTCACGTTGTGCAGGCCACTCACAGCCAGCCACGTGGAGACGAGGCCAATGAGGATGCGCCAGCTCATCCACAAGGTATCTTAAAACATTGATTGTTAATATATGGGAACATACAAGAGCATTGCAGGTGAAATCAGGAGCAGTCGGCGGCGGCGGAGATGTTGCAGTTCGCCGGGATGTTTCTGGCGGCAGTCATGTTGAGGCCTGGCACCGTGGACGTTTGATTCACGAGGCACTGGCACATCTCAAGCTTGGACACGCTTTTCATGGCGGTGCAACAGGCAACCGAGGGTGGCGGTGGATTGCCTCCCACCGCCGCCGAGAGGCAAGGAAACATTGCCTGCTGCGCAGCGCTGCAATCCACAGCGGCCGCTACAAGTCCGACATGGAGCAGCAGTGAGGCAAGCAAAGCTACAACAACCAGGATGCGCGCTCCGCCCATGCCAACGCTGCTGAGAGAAGCAAGCAACCAACCAAAAGCACGATGTTCCTCAAGAGCTCGTCCGCGCTCGCCCTTATAACGAGAGAGAGGCGCAGGGAGAAATAAGTGAGAGCGCCCAGAGGCAGTGCAATGAACTTCTCCTACTGCCACACCTTCCTGAAACCAGACCCGTGAGTTTACAGACCTCCTGCAGGAAAGCACGCCACTCCCATTAATATGAGGTCGCCATCTAAGACTTGATTTAATCTGGCAATCACACCTTACAACATGTCGTAGAAGACAGCCGGCTTTCTCCTCGCTTTGGCGCACAGCTCCTAATACCGAAAACCTGCTTACTTGGTAGCTTTGTTTGTAAGGGACACATTACCTCAATTGCAAAAGCGATACGGAGCAACGTTGCTTCTTGCCATGGCTTGCCAATGAGTTGCAGCCCAACCGGAAGGCCCTGCTTGTCGTGGCCAACCTGAACATTATGACCGTGATGAGAGAGAGAGAGAATGCAAGTAAAACAACCTACTGGTACGGAAACAGCAGGAAGTCCCAAAAAGTTGGCTGAAACTATGAACCTCATAAGATCAGCTGCAGAAACGGAACACAATCCATCAAATGTTGGAGGCTCTCAAAAGGCTAACTTAACTGACCGTGTGTTGCGAGGTCTGTTTCCCCGGTGCTGATCGCGTCTGGCGGTATAAAAGGAGCAGTAACCCTGTAAAAATGGGTGAGGGATTCACTCCAATCCAGACCATGGGCATCTCACCCTGTCGTAGGAGTGACGATCACATCAACTGTCCTGAAAATTTCCATGTGGTAGAACATCAGCCGTCTCCTGACAATCCAAGCGTGGTCAGTACCATGATCTAATCTCGTAGACAAACCGCAGGCGCTGTGCTGAAACATAGAGGCTCGACTGGAACTGCTTAAACAACGCGATAATCACTCGGGTTTCATGGCAGGTACTTTTCCTCCTGCAGCCATAAATCCGTTCGAGCAGGCAGACTGAAAATTAACAAGCTGTGTACCCGTATTTGTAGATTGAATTCAAGCATGTGCATATTTCAGAACCTGTAGTCACAAGATGGCCGTTTCGCAGCTCCTCAAGCTCCGGTATTGCGATCTCATTGATCTGAACAAGAAAAGACTCAGCACACTGACGGCCTGGTAGATGCTTATACGCGAGAAGAGTATCTCTCACAGAATCGGTCGACAGCCATCCTACAGATGGTTGCTACTTCAGGAGGAGATACATCGGTGAACCACTGCACATTCGTAAACGTAAGTCACTAGAAATCTAATCACACAGAAGACTTACATCGGTATAGATTCCGAGTTTTAGTTGCTGGAAGCTTGTATGATTGAATAGCGGCAAACATGGAGGAGGCTGAAAACCTTGTGAAAACAATGCTCTATCCGCTGATATAGCTACTTACTGGTTTTGAATAAACAACGTCAGATGGACCGCTCCCTATCATGGCTGAATACCTGGATGTCACGAACCATAACTCATGAATAAAGAGCTTCAAGAAACTTACACGATCAATGCATCCTCTACATTAGCTGCGATAGGCCCAACCGCTTCTAGAGTCCATCCAACCGGCACAAGCCTTACAGAGTTTTGCAGATGACGGAGGTCAAGATCGCTTTTCTCTTTTTCATTTTCTTACCCAGAGAGAGTTATACGTCCAAAAGTGCACTTCAAACCCACCAGTCCGCACAATCCCGAAGGTATTCTTATGGACCCTGCAACAAAACTCTAGTGAACCGAATGCTTGATGCTACATACCTCCAGCATCAGTTCCCAGTGATGCCGGACATAAACCAGACGCAACTACGGCAGCTGAGCCTGACGAAGAACCTCCAGCATATCTCGTAGTATCATAAGGATTCCTTGCAGTTCTGTTATTCCCAGAGAGAATTGAAAATGGTCAGCTGAAAAGGATTCTCACCCTGAATATGGATTATTTCCGGTGGTTCCCATTCCGAGCTCATGCATGTTTGTTTTTCCTGCAAATATAACTCCACACTCCCGCAGTCTTGCAACACAGGCTGCATCAGTCTTCACCTCTCTGTACTTATGGAGCCATTGTGTTCCTCCTGTAGAGATAGTTCACCGAACTCGTGTAATGGAAACACAAAACCTGCATACCTCTGCTCTCGTGCGGAAGGCAGTCTATGTCATCTTTTACGACGATCAGGACGCCATCCAGCATTGATAGAGGAGAACCTGCCCCAAGTAGAGGGTAAAAACATAGACAAACTAGTGCTCCAACCTGAGGCAAAACGTTCCGCGGATGCTGCTGCTTGTTTACGTATGTCGGACGCGTCGAAGGATATCATGTAAGCCATTGGAGGACTCAGCCTTTCAGAATCTTCTACAGCTTGAATAAAGCGCTCGGCTACCTAATTATCGAGATCTTCACGCCTTGCACGATAGCATCCTGTGACAAAACCTACCTCCATCGGAGTTGTTCTTCCCGATCGATATGCTCCTGCATAATCCCTTATACACCAGAACTTGAAAGGATATCCGTCGCCAAGACGCTGGCTCCTCGAGATGTAAGACGGAAGGCACTCGATGGCCGCGTCGACACGAGAAATCGCTCCTAAATCTGAGGCGAGAACCTTCGTTGCAGGTTCTCCGATTGCTGGTAGCAAACAGTTTCACGAGTCAAAGCAATGCGAGATTTTCACTCACTCTCGTCTGGGTATTCGGGCAGGAACATTGGGGAATCTGGAATTGCAGTGTCGCAAAGCATCTAGAGACGGGAGGAGCTGGTTTGTTATTGTAGCGGAGGAGAAGAAGCAAAACCTACCTGAGGCAAGCGATTGAGTCGCATGAAGTAGGCTAGTACAACCTTCCCGATCAGTTGCGACTCTACAACCCATGCAAATATCCGCAGGGGCATCCCAGACGAACGTGGAGCTGCAAAAAGAGGCACGACTTGCTTTACAACAAGGGAGAAGCAGATGGCCATCACCTCCAACGCGCAGGGGTACATATTCAATGGCTCCTTTCAAAACCTCCTCCACCGGTAGCATGCTCTTCTTGACGCCCATTGATTTGAATCAAGCGAACAGGTCGCCACACCGAGCCCAAGCTATAGCTACAAAATGCCACAAAACGAACAAACGAAACGAGCTAGGGCAGAACGGAGCACGCGCATCATCGACTAAAGGCAAGTCCACGAAACGCATCAACCAGCCAGGATGAGCAGCGCATATTCGCGAATGGTGACAGATTGAAACAATAAATGACACTTAATGACCGACCGCATTCATATTCTTCGGATATTCGCTTCTTCTTCGGATCATGAAGACGATGATCTCATGAAAAAACACACCTACGTCTACTTTACCTCCGATCAGTCGCTCGCTAGTGTGCACAGTTGTTCTTGCTGACATTCGGAGACAGAGGCGTCACGCTCAGCTTTTCCATCTGGAAGCGACAAAACGGGGTGAGAATCCGGTTTGTGAAACCGAGCAGCGCCTTACCTTTTTCTTCCCGTAGAGTTCCTTTTGAAATTTCTTTAGCTGTCTCAAGCTGAATCGTTCGAATCCCAGAGGCAGATTTTCCTTGTCCACTTTCGCTTTTGACTTGGGTGAAGTAGCCGAGGATTCCTCAAGGGTGACAGTTGATAACGCATAAGACAGCTGCTCCACCGCTGCCGGATCTTGGTTAAGCTGACACTCGCCAACAAGAGACATATCGTCCATCAAAAGTTCTGGGCCGCACCACTTATCCTCCTCTGACCCATCAGATTGGAATACTTCCTCGGCCGTTGGCAGCTGACCTTGAGGGGCGTGACTAAGAAGATGATGCAGCGAGTCATCAGACATGGACATCTCCGTTTCGGCTACGTCCCCGTCCATGGACGAGACAAGTTCAAGCTCAGCTCCAGCGAAAGACGAGGCGTCCACAGCCTGTGGCCCGTTGTTAAGATGATTGTCGCAGGGCTGTGGCGGGTTTTCACGCTGCTGCACCTCGGCACAGGTGACTGTCTTCTCCTCGGGAATGTCCGCCAAGACGATCCCCTCCTCCTCGGCACAGGTGTCTTTCTTCTCCTCGACAATGTCCGGCAAGGCGATCCCCTCCTCGGCACAGATATCTTTCTTCTCTTCGGGAATGTCCGGCAGGACGATCCTCTCCTCGGCACAGATGTCTTTCTTCTCCTTTGGAATGCCCGATGCACGCGGCAAGACGATCCCCGCAGCCAGCTCCTCCTTGGCACCGGTGCCCTCAGTCGCCCCCTGAGCGTCAGACAGATCCAGCTGCACCACCTCAGCACCAGCCGCATTCGTCTCCTCAAGCGGACCAATCGCGGCAACCTTAACCTCGGAAGCTTGGGAGTGTATCACCACCTGCTCGTCATTACCTTGAACCGCTGTTTTGGATGGGAGACGTCGAGAGCTCCTCTCCTCCACGAACAGCTCCTTCCTCTCCATGACCATTTCGTCACGCTGACGCTGCTGCTTCACCTGGCTCCTGGTGACTCGGCCGGGAGTGGCCACTGGGGTGGACAAGGCAGACTTGCAAGGCGTGGGCGCCGTCACATCCGGAATCACGATTTCACATCCCCCCTTTTCCTAGAATGCCCAAGAATCAGCTGGCGATCAAGAACCAAGGAAAACTTACAGCAAGGTCGCGCAATGCCGCCGCCATGGCGACATTGGTCGTGTTGGCCGGGATCTTGTGCTGCTTGCAGAGGATTTGGAGCTGGCGCCGAGGGAGGGACTGGAAATCCATGCGCTGCCCCAGCACAAAACCTAAACCCTCGATGGACAGCCGCGGGTCGGGCTTTGTATCCCCCTGCCGCTCCAACAAGTATCCGTTGGGCTGCCTGACACGTGGCGAGCGCACAGCCGCAAGATCCGCCGATGCTACGTTAGTGTTTTTGAAAACGTTTTTATTATTACAAAGAGTTTTGGGGCGGCGAGGGAAAAATCAGAAATGGACAAGGCTGTAGACAAGAATCCACGCCAGCTGCAATTTAGCCATGCGAGATTAGGGTTAGCTCCTTGTAAGTTGACCTACCAGGAAGAGCGTGACCGATGCAAACATGCCCTCCTGGAGGAGAGCGCCGTGGCCCCCAAACTCGTCCTGGTCCACCTTGAGCAAGAAGGCGTAGTACGTGTAGACGAGCAGCGTGGACACAAGCATGAACCTTGCAATGCGAGCGAGCAGGAAGAGAGGTGAATTGCCACTCGAGAGATAACACTTACACGAGCAGCCAGACGGAGCCTACGAGTGGAATGAGACCCCACACGATTCCGCACAGCAGCCCCAGGGCTTGCCTCAGCCAATGCAGCACATCGCCTAGCTGATCCTGTTGATTGACGAGTGAGTCTTGCAAGCTCTTGTAGCGCCGGAACTTACCCTATCCCACTCCGCGTCCGGGCTCAGCAGCTTGGACACCGCCGACTCCCCGTCGTGCTGCAGCAGCGAGTGCTGCTCATCGTGTGGCTTGGATGATGCCGTGGATCTCTCCCTCATCCTCCCCCTCCCTCCAGCAACCCTAAACCCCCTCACTCGAGTTTATCCCGGCTTTCTTGCGGGAGCGCATCCTGGACGACCTGCGCCATGGTGGCGATCTTGTACGTGAAGAAGCCCACCAGCATAGGAATGAGCTGCAACTCCGCCACTCCCAACTCCGGGGCCAGCAGCCTGTACAACACCAACAAGGACACATGAGGGTACGTCGAGGTAAGGACTATCCTACTCGTTCCAGCGGTTGAAGATCATGGTGAGGATGACGGGCACCAGAAGCCTCGGCTGACCCACAGCAGCCCTGCACATGACACCATCGGGGAAAATCAGCTCTGCTCACGCGCCGATCCAGTCCTCTCACCTCGCAGCTCCTTTGACGTCTTGGCTGCCGAATGCATCCACGCTGTTCCCAAGCATTCGGACATATGCCAGGGAACCCGCCAGTCCAATCCCGTAGCTGGTTGCACACCGTCTCAGCGTCTGGCGATTACAGTCAACTAAGTCCCTACCTCAGTGCAACGGTGGGCGAGTAGGCTACGTACGCACACACTGTTCCTGCGCCGCCAATGCCCACTGTAAGCACCTGCAGGCCTGACTTGAGCTGTGGATTGCAACACGCAGTTCTAGGTGAGATTTCAAAGGTGGCCGGCGCAAGATGAACTACTACGTACCCGCTTGTATCTCTCCTTTTCTCGCTGCCTCGACGAGGCTGTCGCTGTTGCGACGGAATCCCTCTCGCTCCTCAGCGTCTCCTGCAACAATGGGAATGCCTAACAGTGAGACACAAGCTCGTACAAGACACGGAATCCGCTCAACTGAGGCCTTCCTAGCTCGGTCCCATTGCCTCCGCTCGTTACGAGTCGGGGCAAAACGCCAGCGATGACCATTGGCGGTTGCTGCTGCTCCTGCTGCTGCTGGTGACGGTGGTGGTGTTGGTGTTGTGTGGACAAGCTCCTTGGTTAAGTCAACATCTACACTGCAATAGTAGTTGGTTGCCTTGAGGTGCTTGTACACAACACTAAGCCAAGGGAAAAGTGGTGTCACCGGTTAATCTCCGCGACCCTGTTGAAGCTGATGAATCCGGAGCTTGACTCGGCTTCCTGATGAATATCAAAGTAGGAGCAACAATGTGCAATTCCTAAGCGTACCTCAGCAACAATCTCCTCGGCAGCTTGCTCTCTATCGAAGAATGGCCTCCACTCGATGTTCCAGATAAACTCGTCCTTGGTTTCCAGCGGATGGAGGCGCGGCTTCCCCCACATTCTGAGGGGCTCCAAGCTCAAGGGAGGGCCACCGTACTCGCCCGGCGCAGTGCCATTGGACCATTGGCCCCGCTGCTTCTTGAGCTTTGGGACCGGAACCCTCTCCCTGTCCACCGCAACCGAGCTCACATCGGGCACGCCCAGCCATCCGCGGCCGAGGTCGCAGCTCACGCACAAAGGCATCCCCCCGCACTCAAATATCTAAATTCGACCTAGGCACCCTTGGTTAGATGGTTGATTGGAGGAGAGGTCTTTAGCCACGTCTCCGGCACGGGAGTTCTTGTTAAATTAAAAGATCACGCTGTAGAAGTTATATGTATCATATGTGTTTCTCTTTGACCACTTTCGGATGGACGCTTTCCCTCAATTTGTGCGAAACACAACGCACGCGTGGTGCCTTTTATATCTCCTCCCGTGTCTGCTTGTAGGGCAACTCCCTGCCCGAGATGGATCATCCAAAGAAGGCGGGCGACCGTAGCGTTGCATTCTACAAGCTCTTTAGCTTCGCAGACGGCTTGGATTTGTTCCTCATGCTCCTGGGATCCTTTGGCGCCGTGGGGAACGGGATCGCAATGCCACTCATGACCATCATCTTTGGCCAACTGACAAACGCTTTCGGGGAATCGGCAGGAAACACGAGCCAAGTTGTGGACACCGTGTCTCGGGTACGTTTTCCAAGCCTTAGCGGAGCACACTCTATCGTTTTTGTCAGGTGGCGCTGCGTTTCCTTTTCCTTGGCTGTGGATCTGCTATTGCGGCTCTCCTGGGTAACTTGCTCGCTTGGACGACCTGCACTGCTCCTAACAGATGGATGGTGCGCTAATGCAGAGCTGTGCTGTTGGATGTGCACGGGAGAGCGGCAAGCAGCTCGTATCAGGAGCCTGTATCTCAAGGCCATTCTGCGGCAGGACATCCCATTCTTTGACACGGAGACCAACACAGGCGAGGTGATGAGCCGGATGTCTGGTGACACCATCCTCATCCAAGAGGCCATGGGGGAAAAGGTGGGTTTGATCTGCAACATTATGTCATGCAAATTTATGCACTTCAGGTTGGGAAGTTCATCCAGCTTAGTACAACCTTCTTGGGTGGCTTCGTCATTGCATTTGTCAAGGGCTGGCGCTTGGCACTCGTCCTGCTCTCGGTCATCCCTTTGCTCGTCGCCACTGGCGGTGCAATGGCCATTCTCACGTCCAGAATGGCAACTAGAGGACAGATGGCCTATGCCGAGGCAGGAACTCTCGTGGAGCAGATTGTCGGTGGCATCAGAACTGTGAGTACAATTCCGCCACCCTTTTCATGTCACGGGACATGTGTACGTGTAGGTTGCGTCTTTTGGTGGCGAAAAGCAGGCTGTGGGCAAGTACGACAAGGCGCTTGACAAGGCGTACCGAGCTGGAGTCCGGCAGAGTGTTGTTGCAGGAGCCGGGCTCGGAGCTCTCCTGTGTGTGGTGTTCGGCAGCTATGCATTTGCACTGTGGTATGGATCAAAGCTGATACTGCATCGAGGCTACACGGGTGGTGACGTCCTCAATGTCATCTTCGCAGTACTCACGGGCGGATCGTAAGTAGATAACAGCATTTCATACTTATGATGACATGGAATGGTGGCGTGCAGGTCCCTGGGCCAGGCTTCACCTTGTATCAGCGCGTTTGCTGCGGGAAGGGCAGCGGCATGCAAGATGTTTGAAGCCATCCACAGGAAGCCTAGTATCGATGCGTCGGACATGGGTGGCCTAACGCCCGACCGAGTGATTGGTGACATTGAGCTCCGCAGCGTGAGCTTCAGATATCCCGCGCGCCCGGAGGTAGCCGTCTTTGACAATTTCTCTCTGGCCATACCATCCGGCATAACCGCTGCTTTGGTGGGGGAGAGCGGTAGCGGCAAGTCTACTGTTGTCAGCTTGATCGAGAGGTTCTATGATCCACAGGCTGGGGCGGTCCTTTTAGACGGCATTGACGTACGCCGTCTGCAAGTCAAATGGCTGCGAGAACAAATTGGCCTCGTAAGCCAGGAGCCGGTACTCTTTGGTGCCTCTATCAAGGACAATATATCCTATGGGAAAGATGACGCCACTGACGAGGAAATCAAGCGCGCTGCCGCTCTTGCAAACGCTTCCAAGTTCATAGACAGGATGCCTCAGGTGAGAATTCAATCCGGTCATTAAGGATTGCGGTTAAGTGTTTTGGCAGGGTTACAGCACGCACGTTGGAGATCATGGAACACAGCTTTCGGGAGGCCAGAAGCAGAGGATCGCAATCGCCAGAGCTATCCTCAAGAACCCCCGCATTCTTCTCCTTGACGAAGCTACCAGTGCTCTGGATGCCGAGTCGGAGAGGGTTGTCCAGGATGCTCTGGACGGCATCATGGTGCACCGGACAACTGTCATCGTAGCCCATAGATTGTCTACCATCAAGAACGCAAACTGCATCGCTGTGGTTCAGCGAGGAAACGTGGTTGAGAAAGGTGAGTGCTCAGATTTATATCGGCCTTGGAGCTATAGTTTATATGTTACACCCGGTGACCAGGCACACACTCGGAGCTGCTACAGAAACCGGATGGCGCCTACTCCCAGCTGGTGCGCCTGCAAGAGCAACATGACGAGAGATCCAATCACAGCCTGGCCAAAGTGGACCCAGACGAGATCGTCGAGCAGAGCGGCCCTCAAAGATCTCTAAGCAGGGCTAGCAGCAGTCGCGGCTCGTTTGGGAGCAGACTTCTGAGAAGCTTTAGTGCTGCTGCAAGAGCGGCCATCGAGGAGAATGCCAATAACAAGAGCGAGGAAGAGAAACCACAAATGACGCGGGCATTTCTTCGTCTCGCAGCCTTGAACAAGCCCGAGGCGCCGCTGGCCGTTGCCGGTGGGCTAGCCGCCGCTGGACACGGTGTGCTATTTCCACTCTTTGGGCTGCTTCTGTCCAACATGATCGGGACGTTTTTCGAGACGAGCAGGCACAAGCTACGAAAGGATGTGGATTTCTGGTCGGCCATTTTCACGGCTCTGGCAGCGGCATGTTTGATTGTTGTTCCGGCACAGATCGCGTCTTTCGGGTTAATTGGCCAGCGCTTGATTCGACGCATCAGGAGGCAGTCGTTTGGTGCGGTTGTTCGCCAGGATATCGGTTGGTTCGACGATCCCAGCAACTCCAGGTGGGCTCTTTTTCTGCTAGAGTTCTCTCTATTTACGTGGCTTGCTGCATTTGCCCAGTGGAGCTATCAGTGCTCGTTTATCAACCGACGCAGCTTACGTCCGAAGCCTGGTCGGAGACTCCATGTCGTTGGCTGCTCAGAATGTTGCAACCATTGTTACCGGGTTGATAATCGCCTTCGCTGCAAACTGGACGCTGGCTCTGCTAATCCTTGCATTGGTCCCTCTACTTGCCCTTCAGGGCGCAACACAGACGAAGATGATGACTGGTTTTAGCAAGAACGCAAAGGTGAGTGTGATATAATGTGGCAGTGGTCCTTACGTCACTGTGGATTTGTGGCAGGAAACATATCAAGATGCAACCAAAGTTGCAAACGATGCTGTTAGTAGCATCCGCACAGTGGCGTCGTATTGCATGGAGCAAAAGATGGTCAGGCTTTACACGCAAAAGTGTGAAGTTACGTCCAAGAGTGGGATACGGAACGGGATGGTGAGTGGAGCTGCGCTTGGTTTTTCAAACTTCGTACTCTATGGCTCGTATGCACTCAGTTTCTGGTACGGAGCTCGTCTAGTGGAGGAAGGAAAGACGACGTTTCAGAAAGTTTTCCGGGTGGGCGACATTGCTTTTGCTTGGCCTTGACGGGCTGCTATAACCGTGCGATGCTTTGCAACAGGTGTTTTTTGCTATCACAATGAGTGCTCTGGGGGTTTCTCAGGCCGTGACATTGGCTCCTGATCTGGTCAAAGTGAAGGCCTCGGTCAGATCAATTTTTGCAACCCTCGACAGGAAGTCTAAGATTGATCCCTTCAACGCCGAAGGCAAGGCGCTGGAAGGAATGAAAGGCGACATCGAGTTCCGGCATGTGAGCTTCAGATACCCGTCACGTCCTGATGCGCAAGTGTTTCGTGACATGTGCTTCTCACTGGAAGCTGGAAAGGTACCCGAAGCGCATCTTCTTTTGTGACTTTGTTTATGTTTTCCCACAGACAATGGCCCTGGTAGGGGAAAGTGGCAGCGGGAAGTCAACTGTCATCGCTCTCTTGGAAAGATTCTACGATCCTGATAGCGGCGAGATACTCATCGACGGGATCAACATCAAAACGATGAGCCTGAGGTGGCTACGCCAACACATTGGACTGGTGAGCCAAGAACCAATTCTGTTCAGCGGCACCATACGGTCCAACATTGCGTATGCAAGAGAGGGGAGGGTGGCGGAGGAGGAAATCGAGGCCGCAGCAACGACCGCAAACGCTCACAAGTTCATCTCGGCCTTACCCGACGGCTACAACACTCAGGTTGGCGACCGCGGCATGCAGTTGTCTGGGGGACAGAAGCAGCGAGTTGCCATCGCCAGAGCCGTGGCCAAGGAGCCCAGGATTCTGCTGCTGGACGAGGCAACCAGTGCCTTGGATGCGGAATCTGAGAGCGTTGTCCAGGAGGCATTGGACAGGATCATGGTTGGCAAGACAACGATAATTGTTGCTCACCGGCTGTCAACAATTGTTGGCGTGGACGTGATCGCCGTTGTGAACAACGGGGTGATTGTGGAGCGAGGGAGCCATTCCCAGCTCATGAGCAAGCCCAATGGAGCTTATGCCTCGCTGGTGAAGCTGCATCTATCATCGCCGGCCAAGTAGCTCCTCCTTTATGTACAAAAATCTATCAGACAAGCATCGCCTTGGAGCTGGAACTGCTGCCAAAGCTCCTGTTGAGCTTACTGCTTATTGTCATCCTGCTGCTGGCGTCTAGATCCTCGGAAGGAAGCCTGGCGCGGCGCACCATCTTCTCCATATTCCTCTCCAAGCTCTGCTTCACCATCCAGTTGACGGCCCTTCGCTCCTCGCACACTGCATGCTTTGGGGCCTGGACCATCCTGGACGAAGCTGCGAGCGGGAGCGCGAGTGGTGCCGACATTGGCCTGGCATTTCGCTGGAAGCGCTCCTCCCTCAGGCAGTCGAGGATCCGTGCCGCCCTCCTCTGCGCGATGGCCGTGCCCAGCAGTGCCACCTCCAGGAGTGGAGTGACAGCACCAGCGCTCACCATGGCCTGGCGAGCAGGCCAGCTGTGGTGAGTGAGCAGCATGAGCACGTAGAGGACTCGCTCCTGGCACCGCGCGACCGTGGCGGCAGGGCCAAGATGCTTCGAATATACTTGGGAGTCCTCTTCCGAGCCGGACGAAGCCGACGCCGACGACGACGACGAAGATGACGTTTCTTCCATGGTTGCGGTGTAGGATGCGAGCGCCGTGAGGAGCTTGGCGATGGCAGCGGAGGAGGTGAGGCATTTGCGTGCCTCTTCTGAGAGCTCCGCCAGATTGCCCAGCGTGGCCAGGATCCTGTCGGCAACCAGCGGGTCGCTATCGGCGTCCGTGTTGAGGAGGTTGAGGAGGGCGTCGGCTGCACCATCCGCCACCATACGCCCAACATTTGCGGAAGAAATGGAGAGGTTGTACAAGACGCGGGTGGAATCCTTGATGATGCTGCTGCTGCTCTTGGTGCGGACGATCCGCACCAGCTGCTGGGATGCACCCGAGTGGCCTATGATGGGCTTGTTGGAATCCAGGGCTGACAGCGAGAGTAGAGCAGCTATGGCGCTCTCGACAACGTCCGCAGCCGAGGTAGCGCTGGATAGAATCCGGACCAGGATTGGCACCGCTCCGGCCTCGACGATCCACTGCTTGTTCCTGCGCACGCGCGAATCAAAAGCTTAATCTCATTGGCTGCGATCACCACCACTAGGTACCTGCTGTTTCCGATGGCGAGGTTGAGCAGCGCCAGCAGAGGCTGCTTGCAAGCGGAGACAGCGGAGATGGTTGAATCCAAGAGGTCCACCAGCGAGGGAATCACGCCCAGCTCCGCCAGCACCACCCTGTTTTCTGCGCTGTCACGGCTCATCCTCCGCATTTCTGTGGCCGCTCTCAACCGCTCGTCCTCTTTCCGCCCGCTCTTCACGCCGTCGACCAGCCACCGCAGATCCAATCTCCTCCCGAAGGATCCTCCGGGGGCCTTGATGTTGTTGGGCCCCCCATGATCTCTCGGGCTCACAACCACCTTGGCCTTGTTGTCGTCGTCGTCGTCGTCGTCATGGGCCTTGAGTCGCTCACATACCTCGGATATCGATGCTGATGCTTTGTCTTGCTCCCTCTTGTCCTCCGCCCGCTGCTGCTGCTGCTGCAGGAGAAGCTTGAGCCTGGGCTTGGCCTTGCTCTTGCTCGTGTCTTGCTCCTTGTTGGTGGCGGCGCTGCACACGCCCGCGTGTGCGACATGGCAGCGGAATGCATCCAGGAAGGAGGACAAGACGCCCGACAGCTTGCGACCGTGGCCCCTGCCGCTCTCTCTTTTCCTGGCGTCATCTTCCGCGCCCCTGATCTGAGACGAGAGCCCCAGCACCGCCATGGTGTAGCTCTCGTTGCTAGCTAGCTAGCTCTAGCAAAACAAAATGCCTACTTCATGCTACCTAGTAAATGCAAAAGGAACAACATATTTATATTCGCAAGCGATATGGCGTGACCGAGAGAAGCAGAAGAAGCCGCTTTCTTGCTGTTGCTTGCTTGCTTGCTAGTTTCGTCTGGCAGGTCACAAATACTCCTTGCCCTCCCATCGCCCTCTCGCCCTCTCGCCCTCTCGCTCTCTGTCGGCACCGGCGGGCATTTGTGAAACGCCCCTCTCTCTCTCTCTCTCCCCCCCATCCATCACCTGCCGTACTGCCGCAAAGCATGGACGCACCTCCGTTGTTAGCAAAATAAAGCAAAGTGGTGTATATGGGCATGGGATAAGCTAGACAAGGCTTTCTAGCAAGAGATGCTTGTCTGCTTTGCATTCAAGTCGTACAAGTTTACGTAGCGATTATTAGAGAGTTAGTTGCCTCCCCACCAACTTACACCAGCGAAAAACGATTCTCCTTGATTCGATTCACTTCATTCGGTACAGCAGCTTTGTCAAAAATTGGAGCTGGGGCGTTCCTTGTCCATGTCCTTTCTATGCTGTCCGTCCCTTTCGTCGTGCGCAGTGCTCCAAGTGATTCACCTTTAGTTTTGGTGCAACTATCACGACTTTGTCACCAAGCACCACGCACCAGTAGCATGCACGGGATCCACACAGGTGGAAGGAAGCGAAGGGATTTGACGATGAACGCACGAGGAATCCCAAATCCCATCCCACTAACAGAGCACCACGAAAAGTAGCCTGTGAGTGAACAAACAAGATGTTACCTCCTTTGGACACGCCTAACGTGCTGCTGATTTCCCTTTCTACCTTTTACACGTTTTTTAAGACCTGACGAACACCTCGATTGAGTCATCGTCCTCCATATCCAGGCTCTTGGGAGTGGCATTGCCTTGCAACTGTTCCCCGTCAAAACGGAACACCAAGTTCGATTTGGATGTCTTTGTAGTGCTTGCATACGCAGCAAACAGCCTCTCAAATCTGTCATCCTGGAAGCAAAAGTTACGAATGGTTACAGCAGTAAAAAAAAAAAACACCTCACCATTCCCATACGGAAGGAGTGAATCCCGCCCGACTTGTCCTGAACTTTGAGCACGATCTTGTGTTGTTGTTGTTGTTGTTGTTGCTGTCGCTGTGAGTTGTGGTCGCTGTTGTCCCGCGAGCATGATTGCCCGGACACCTCCAACATGTCCTCGTTTTCCAGATTCATGCTTCTTGGCGTTGCACTCCCCTGTACTTGCTCGCCATCGAAACAAAAGACCAAGCCCGACACGGACACCTTTGCGGCAGTGGAATATGCATCAAACAGCTTGTCGAGCCTATCATCCTGGAATACAAAAATGGATTAAGTTGCGCAAGAGAGAAAACTATTCCTGTCGCCACCCACCATTCCCATACGAATACACTGAATGCCACCGGAACTATCTTGGACTCTAACCACGATCTTGTCCGCGGCTTGCGCAGGAGTGTAAGCTTTGGCTCGCCGGTCCAGCTCGTCAATGTCCTCGCAGGCCTTTTGCGACAGGGACAGCAGCTCCGCTTGCTTGGCTCTCAGAAGCGAGCTGTAGGCAGGCATCCGTCTCGAACATGTATCCAGAAATAAACAAAATCACGAACCTGACGCCGTGGAAACTTGTGGTGGCTGTCACCTTCTTGGTCAGCTTGGGCGGCGGAGGTAACCAACTCCTATCCCACTCCCTGTCCTCCTCCTCCACTAGACGCTGCTGTTGCGTCAGCTGCTGCTGTGTCGTGGCAGGCGACGCGGTTGCCTGCCGCACCGTAAAGTTGGCTGAAGACAACCTCATGTTGTCGTGCTCGGGCTCTTCTTCTTGATCGCTGCCTGCAAACAACGCACCAAAGTGAAACGAAGAAGAGCAGGAGATGGGCGACACTCACTCTCGTCGCGGCATGCTTGCTCGCGGCGGTAATCAAACAGCGGCTCCAAATCGTCGTCCGCGCCGTCTGCCATCGCCCACAGGTTAGGGCTTTGGAGCTTTGGCGATGTTGGAGAGCAGCACATAGGGCGCCGCATTGGTGGGCTGCATCTCCACCACATGCTGCGCGGCGCTGGATCCCCTCCCCGCGTCTCCGTGCACGGCGCACGCCCCCAGCAGGCACTTCCACGCCCCAATGCCCGGCTCCACGGGCATGTTGTTCATCACCTCCTCCGCCACCTCCAGCTTCCCCGCCCGCGCCAAAACGTCCACAACACACGCGTAGTGCTCCCGGCTGGGCACTATGCCCGCCTCCACCCCGCGCGCCAGCGCCTCGACCGCATCCGCCACCAGGCCGGCATGGGTGCACGCATGCAACACCAGCGTAAGGCTCACCTCGTTGCCCGCCTCCCCCGCCAAGCCCATCTCGCCAAACAGCTCCAGCGCCTCCCGCGGCTGCCCGTGATGCGAGTAGAGCCCCATCATGGCGTTCCACGACACCACGTCCACTCGAGTCGAGCACCGCCGCCTCATGTCGTCGAACGTCCTCCTCGCCGCCTCCACGCTCCCGCACCTCCCGTACATGTCCATCAGCGCCGTCACCACCACCCTGTCGGTGTCGAAGCCGCTGGCAACGATCCGGGAGTGAGCCGCCCGCCCCGCCCGGAGGTCCTTGAGCAACGAACAAGCGGTGGCGACGCAGCTGAAGGTGAAGGCGTTGGGATGGATGCCCTGCCAGTCCATGCACCGGACGAGCTTGAGTGACTCCTCGCCTTGCTGCTGCTCCACGTAGCCGCTCATCAACACGTTCCACGACACCACACTCCGCCGCGGCATGCTGTCGAAACAGGCTCGCGCCTCGTCCAAGCTCCCGCATCGAGCATACATGTTGATGATCGAGTTCTGCAGCACGATGGAGTCATGGCCGCTGCGTCGCGCAGCGGAATGGACGGCTCTAGCAGCCGACAAGTCCCCCAGAACTGAGCACGCATTTGCAGCGGCAATCAGCGTCCCCGCATCCTGCGCTACTGATCGCTCTCGCATCTCGTCAAACAGGCCGAGTGCCTGGCTGGGGAGCCAGGCCTCCGTGTAGGCGGTGATCATCGCGTTCCACGCAACAGGATCGTTTTGGAAGCCCTTCCCGTCGCCAAAGACCTTTGCCGCTTCTTCCAGCCTTCCAAACTTGGAGTACATGTTCACCAGCGCAGTCCTCACCACCGCATCGTCTTCGAATCCGCACGACATTGCCCAGGAATGGATCTGCATGCCCTGCTCCAAGCAGACGCAAGCACCAAGAACGCTGGCCGACGTGAAAGCGTTTGGCTTCAAGCCTTGGAGATGCATCTGGTGGTAGAGATACATGGCCTCGTCAGGGTGGCCATACTCAACCCATGCCGCGATCATGGCGTTCCAAGATACTTGGTTCTTGTTGTCAGCCATGCTTGCAAACACACTCCTGGCACCCTCGATGCTCCCGCATTTCGCGTACATGTCGAGCAGCGCAGTGGCAAGCACAAGGTTAGAATCCAAGCCCAGAGCCGCCACCCGAGCATGAATATTTCTTCCGGCGTCTACAAACTCCGGAGTGGAGCACGCCCCCAGCAAGTTGATGAACGTCAACATGTCCGGACCCAGGCCCTCGAGGTCAATGCAGCGAAAGAGATCAAAGGCCTCGTCCCCGAGGTCCAGGTGTGCATATCCGGCGATCATTGCGTTCCAGGAGGCGAGGCTCCTCACTTGCATCCCATCAAACAGACTCCTGGCGTCATCGATGCGGCCGCACTTGGCATACAAGTTAACGAGCGAGTTGTGCACCACAACATCTGGAGTCATTCCACTGTCGACGATTCTCCTGTGGATCTCTTGCCCTCGCTGGAGATCGCCCACTGCGCAGTAGGCTCCCACAACGCTTGAGTAGACAAACATATCGGGCTGCACGCCCTCCTCTTGCATCCGCTCGTATAGCCTAAGTGCCATATCAAAATCCCCATTCTGGGCGAATGCTGCGATGATGATGCTCCACGAGTAGATGTCTCTGTATGCCAGCCGCTCAAAGGCATCCCTTGCGTCGCCGAGGCTACGGCACTTTCCATACATTTGGACGAGGATATCACCCAGCACCTTGTCTCTGTCCAGCCCCCTCGCTATCATGTGCGAGTGAACCTGTTTGCCCGCCCACAGCGCCCTGGAGCGCCCACATTGCCGGAGAAGCGATGCATACGTAGCCTTACCTGGGTTGTCCTCGAGCACCTCGAGATCAACATCCACCAGCCGGGAGCTCTTGGGCGGTAGAGCCATGTCATGACAGTGCAGGGATATGGGTCAAAAATGGCTTGATCGCAACTTTGAGCGGCCATTTACAATGACGTATGTGCTTGGGAAGCCTCTGATTGATTGAGCGAGAAGCGCTTAAAGGAGGCCTGGTCCACTCGCCTCTTATACTTCCCAAAATCCGATCCTCCAAACCGACTATCGAGATGCTACGAACGTTTTAGCCCCACCAAAGTAGTTGTGGTGTCGCTCAAGCTCTTCGTAACAAGAAGATGGATTTTTGACAGGTTTCACCCCTTGTTGATCTCATCCATCATTGACTGTTGGGAGTGTTCCATTTTGAAGCTCTCTCATCTTGTTTCTACTTCTCAAAGTTTAAGTTTGATGAGTGAACATTGGCAACTCGAGAATGTGTTCAGTTAAAAACTACTCAGCTCGGCGGAGAAGGTAAGCTATCACCTGTTGGGAGTGTTCCATTTTGAAGCTCTCTCATTTTGTTTCTACTTCTCAAAGTTTGAGTGAACATTGGCAACTCGAGAATGTGTTCAGTTAAAAACTACTCAGCTCGGCAGAGAAGGTAAGCTATCACCTGTTGTTGTGAACAAGGGAGAGGCTGTCGGTTGCCTGATGGTCTAGTAGTACCCAACCATAGGAGGAAAGAGAGAGCTAGCTATCTAGAGGGGGACGTTTGTGAGTTCTCGCTATAAAAGCGATGGCATATCAGTGCGTTGGGACCATCTCGGAGAAAAGCTCGAGTGTTGCGACATTTTAGAAGCCATGACTTTGGTGGGATTCGTCCTCATGTCTTACGTCTTCTTCTTCTTCTTCTTCTTGTCCGTGGGGCGATGCCAGCTTCAAACGGGCTTCTATGCGTCTTCATGCCCAAACGCTGAATCCATAGTCAAGTCGGAGGTTTCCAAAGCGACGCAGCAGGACTCGAGATTGCCGGCGTCGTTGATAAGGCTCCATTTCCATGATTGCTTTGTTCAAGTGAGTGCCACTGATCAATTCGTTGAATCAGTATTTTTTGTTCCTCAGGGGTGTGATGCATCGGTGCTGCTGGATGATACGTCGAGTTTTACCGGGGAGAAGACTGCCGGTCCAAACAACAATTCACTCCGAGGCTTCGAGGTCATCGACACGATCAAAGCGTCTCTGGAGAGCAGCTGCAAGGGAGTCGTGTCGTGCGCAGACATCCTCGCCATTGCGGCTCGTGATTCCAGTGTCATCGTAAGCGAATTTATCTCCGTATTGGGATCAATATAAGCTTTTGCAGACGGGAGGACCTTCTTGGGATGTGAGGCTGGGGCGTCGAGACAGTACCACGGCCAGCCTGAGCGGAGCTAATTCACAGATTCCATCCCCTGCTTTCACCGTTAATCAGCTCATATCCGCATTCACGGCCAAAGGCCTGTCAGCGGAGGACATGTTCACCCTCTCAGGCAAGTGCAAGCTCATTAGAGTCGCATCAGGATCTTATGGAAACGGCATCTATGGATATGCAGGGGCTCACACAATCGGGCAGGCCAAGTGCAGCAGCTTCAGCGGCCGACTGTTCAACAACAGTGGCAGCGGGCAGCCGGACCCAAGCATCAGGCCGGGATTCTTGAAGTCTCTTCAGTCGGCATGTCCTCAAGGGGGGGACGCCACCGCGCTACAGCCTCTGGACGTGGCAACCGCCACCACCTTTGACAACCAGTACTACTCCAACCTCCTCCTGGGCAGGGGCTTGCTTAACTCGGACCAGGTCCTCTCTACCACCGTCGGGACTGCCAGGAACTTTGTCAAGGCCTACAGCTCCGACCAGTCCAAGTTCTTCAGCAACTTCGCGGGATCCATGATCAACATGGGGAACATCAGCCCCCTCACCACGCCCAATGGAATCATCCGCTCAAACTGCCGGGTCCCCAGCTAGAACGTAAAGCGCATGCCGATGGTTAGAATGGAATAAATCACAGAAGACTTTGTTTTGCTGAACGTGTCCATGCGCCATTTCTCAACCACCACCTGATTAAGAAGTCTGCAGGTGGTATATCAATTTCATGTAGCAACCCTGGTAAATTTACTTTTTACATCTCTAACGAAAATATTATTTTACTTACAATTTTTGCCAACGCTGACTGACGGGTAACGTCCGAAATTGTTCTTTTTAGCCCTAATGCCACATCATCTTTTCTTTTGCCACGCATGCGCCACATTGCACAACTTAATGAATTTTAAGGGGAAACCACACGGTTAACACGTGCAAATGACATGGCATTCATCAGCACGTGTTAGCCGTGTGGCCTCTCGTGTAACGGCCACGTCAGTCATCTCAGCCGTTGCATCCAGCACACGTGGAATCGACGCACATAAACTTTCCAAGTGTCACCCTTTTTCGTAATTTCGAATCAGCCCTTCTTGGCCTACAAAGCCCTAAAGCAGTCAAACAAACGCGGGATCGCTGCTGCCCCAAGAAGAATGGCGTCCTCCGCAGCGGTGGCGGGAAATCTTGCCGCTGCGTTCGGCAGCAGCAGCAGCAGCAGCCAGGTAGTGCTTAGGAACGACGATCGATGCGCGATAGCATTCTTTGCTCGGCCCGGCAGATTGAGGGGGCTCGATTCTCTTAGAGTAGCCACTAGGACTAGAGCCACCACGGGTTGCAACGCTGGGAACCTGGTGTTTGACGCGGTGGAAAGCGCATCCTGTTCGACTCCCATTGACAGGAGTAGCTTCTGGTTGCAGCCTTTGTCCCTGTCACAGCCATGCTCGGACATGAGGACGTTAGACAAGTGGGTGCAAGATCACATAGTCGAGGTAATGTTTCTCTTTTGACGCTGTCCTGAGATGTATGCTGATAATTATATGGCGGCTGGCCTGCCAGATAGTGAAGAACATTCGGGAGGCACCATTCCTCCAGTACATATTCGATTCGAAGGGCATTAGGACGCAGAGGCGCAGGGTGCCTCCGAGTGCCTTGGAGCATACCCCGTCCGAGTGCTGGAACTACGTGAGGGAGTCTGTAACGACTGCGTCTCCGGATGGTTTAATCCTCGTCCGGAAGCTTGACGAGCAAACATCCAGACTGGTTCGCGACGCACGATCGCTGTCTGCTGCTGGCCAATGCCCCATGCAAGATAGCCTCTGCCTCCGGAGATCGCTCGACTTGACCCGGACGTGTGGACGTGACAAGGCCGCCGGCAACACCCAGTCAACAAAGGACGGCGGCGATGGCGATGGCGATGGCAGCAGCGTAGATGTGTGGGGGGTTTTGGTACAGGGAAAAGGCGACGCAGGCAGTTCGTGCTACATACTGGAGACAACTCGCGCTGTCGTCCCCGGCGGGACGTCGTGCACCAGATTTTGTCTCACAAGGGCGCAGTGCTTTGGACCGTCCCTCCAGGCGCAAATGGTATTGATGTGGCTGCAAAAATGATACGTCGCCTGTCTATAGCCAGCCCAGCCCCCCCCCCTCTGAAACAAAGCTACCCAGGAAACTGGGTGTTTGTCACAATGCCATTGATTCGCGTAAGTTACGCTTAACGAATGTGATGAGGGCACATGGGAGCATATGACTTTTAGCTGCATGGCCCATGTTCCTGCTTACGAATGCCTCTCCTACTTTTTCTTTTTTGGTTTTTGTGCATCATTCTGGATGAGGGGAGGAAATCCTCCCCAGTTCTGCAAATTCTCTTGTTGCTCTCGCGTGATGTAATCGTCCTCTAATCCTCTAATCATCTGGCGGCGTCCTTGTAACTTGTGTGACGGTTTCTCCATTCACTCGGCTGGTGGCGTCTTGTGGCCCAACCAAGCTTTCACATCAACGAGGCGAGTCCAATTTAGCAGAGGCCAGCAAGCCAGCTGGAGCTCCAAGGTGTCGGTCAGGCGCAACGGCCTAGAGCCGGTGGCTGGCGGGCTTGTGGCGCCCCAATGGATTACGTGCAACCGGCCATTGCCGGTTGCCAGCCCATTATTCTTTGTTAAATATTCCCTTGACGTGGAAATGGAAGAAAATAGCTTAAGCAACAGGCACGTCTGCTCCGGAAACGCGGGCGAGGCGAGGCGAGCAATCTGGGTGGGGGATGTGCCCAGCGCTGGATCCAGCTCCATTTCACACCCTCTGCGGCGGCAGCGCTCATCCTCTCCAGCTCAAATCGGTAAGTTTCCAGGCTCCGTGGCCGCATTTGGCAGGTGCCACGCTCCAACAATTCCTTCCAGGAGATGTGACTACACACAGCGGCGAGACATGGAAGAGTGTGCAGTCGCGGGCGAGGAGGCGGATCAAGATCGGTCACTGTGCGGTCGGCAGAGTATCAAGGCCAGTGGTTTTGGCTTCCCCGCGGCGGCCCCGATTAGCATCAACATGATTTTGGCATCGCCAACCAATCCAGCTCTGCTGCATTGCTGCTGCTAGGTCTTCGGGGCGGGGGATCGAGGGCGCCAGAGATGTGGTGGTTTGTGAAGCTCGACGCGCTGGCCATTCTTGTAGGTATGATGGTGATAGAGTCTTGGGGCGATTGCTCGAGCTCGTCCGGCCGATTGGACGCGGAGGAGATCTGCGGGCGCGGCAACCGCAGAAGCGTTGCGAGGCCGCACAGTGTGTCCATCACAGAGTTCGGAGCTGTCGGGGATGGGCAAACCGTGAACACGGTGGCGTTTCAGAATGCCGTCTTTTATCTGCAGTCGTTTGCTCACAAGGGTGGCGCGCAACTCTACGTGCCCGCCGGCAGGTGGCTAACGGGCAGCTTCACGCTCATCAGTCACCTGACGCTCTTTCTCGACACGGGCTCCGTCATCCTCGCCTCTCAGGTCAGGTCGGCCGGCCTTTCCAATTGGATGTCGCTCACCCTGCTTGCTTGTTTCTTCGATTCGGTAGGATCCACACGACTGGCCTTTAATAGATCCATTGCCGTCGTACGGGAGGGGCAGGGACCTCCCGGGTCGGAGGCACAGGAGTCTAGTCTATGGCAAGGATGTGGAAGATGTAGTGATTACAGGTGAGATACTGTATCCTCCTCGCTTTTCTTGTGTGAAGCACAGTTGCTCTGTCACAGGTGGAAATGGGACAATAGACGGGCAGGGATCGGTGTGGTGGCACTGGTTCCGTAATCAGTCCCTGAATTATACAAGGGGCCACTTGGTGGAGTTCATCAATTCGAAAAACATCGTGGTGTCAAATATTAGTCTCCTGAATTCACCATCCTGGACCATCCACCCTGTTTATTGCAGGTTTGTCTGATAGGTGTAGTAGCACTTCTGCTAGAGTCCTGGATTTTTTTTAAAATTTTTTTTTTCGTGCTCTAACGAGTTACCGTGTGTTGTTGGTTTCTGGTTTTGAAAGCAATGTTGTCATCAGAGGCGTGACCGTGGTTGCCCCTTCGGAGTCACCCAACACTGATGGTGTCCAACCAGGTAACAATTCTTGACAACCCTCTACTTCATCCAGGCTTTTCACGTACTTGAGCAACCATGGGAGTGGACCATGGTTCTCGACTCTGACTTTTTTTCACACAACTACTTAGTTGCTTTTTCTTCTACGTTTAGCGATTCCTTGCTGGAATTTTGTCGCTTGTTTTCGAACCCTTGGCTGTTTCGAAACAGAGCTCTTGCTAACAGTGAGTTAGATGGTAACCCAGGCCCAAAGGAGCGAGGCACTGTTGTTTAAGGAACCGGCAAGATGCAGGTATAGCATCTTTTGGGTTTACTACTATTTTGACTGTGGGTTTCATTACGTGAGCTCCCACCCTGTGCTCTTTGCATGGGCCTCTGGTTGTTGATCTCGTGGGATGGATCACTCAACTCCGTCCATCCATTTTCCATTCTCTGATTCTAATCCAGATAAACACGTGCCCTGTGCAGATTCTTGTACCGGCGTCTGCATTGAGGACTGCGCGATAACCAGCGGCGGCGACGCTGTCTCGGTCAAGAGCGGCTGGGACGAGTATGGCATCCAGGTTGGGCTCCCGAGTGCCAAGGTCGTGATCCGGCGAATCACGGCCCAGGCACCCGCCAGCGCCGCCATCGCCTTTGGCAGTGAGATGTCGGGCGGGATAAAGAATGTGGTGGTGGAGGACGTTCGAGTGTTCAACTCAAAGATCGGAGTCCACGTTAAGACTGGCGCGGGCCGCGGAGGCTACGTCAAGAACATCTCGGTCACCAACGTCACCATGGACAGTGTGCTCACGGCAATCGCCTTGAGCGGCAACAGTAGCAGCGAGCATCCTGACGAGGGCTACGACCCGCTGGCGTACCCGGTGGTGAGAGGGATTTACGTGAACAAGGTTTGGGGCCGGAACATCTCCCACGCCGGAAGCCTGAGAGGTTTGGAGGCGGCCCCGTTTGAGGACATATGCTTGTCCAACATAACTCTCGAGGTTGACGAGGCCTCGCAGGGATCCAAGTGGGACTGCTCCAACGTCAAAGGAGCCTCTCTCGGCGTCACTCCAACGCCGTGCCGCCAGCTCCAAAATCTCCTGGTCCTCGTCCTCCCCACTCGGACCTTGACAAGTCAATGACCCCCCCACGTACTTTTGTAATAAGTAAAGGAGTTCGTACCTATATTATATATACATGAGAGTCCGTACAGACTTGAACGTCCACCGTCGGATCCCCAGGCCCGAATCCAATCCAGTGGCTTTCTCCCGCGGACACGTGGCGAGAGGGCATTGGCGACAGCGCTGAGAATTACCGTGGACGCAAGGGCCCTGCTCTCTTACCTATAAAATGCGGCTGCCCCTCTCTCCCAGAGAGAAGAGAGAGCCTGAGGAAGAATTCTAGAGCGCTGTGCTCGCCTCCACCAAGAGGAGCAAGTCAGCGAAGTTGAGAGAGGGATTGGAGGAGCGGCGGGCGGGCGGGCGGGCGGGCGGGCGGGCGGACGGGCGGCGGCGGCGGCGGTCAGGATGGAGAAGGAGTGGTGGATTAGGATGGAGCAGGAGTGGTGGATTGGAAGTTTGTCCAGGTGCGAGACGTATTGCGTTGTGGCCGACGAGGATAACCCTAGGTGACCCTATTATGTGATGCCGGATTATTACTAGTAGTAGTTACGAGTTCTAGGACGATGGAGCTCGATCTGAATTTACCGCCTCCATCGCCCAAGGCTCCTGATGCCGACACGGCGGGACAAGCGGCATGCCCCTCCTCGAGCAGCGGTGACAAGCCACCCGTCAAGGTAGAAAAGGCGCGGAGGAGCGCGAGGCTGGCCAAGCAACAGTCGGACAACTTCATGGAGCCGCCGGAAGATACAAGCGCTGCTGTTTGTAGTAAAGCAGTGGAGAGTAGTGCTCGGCCACCCGACAGTACTCGGCCACCCGAGGCGCCAACGCCAGCCCCCCAGAGAAAAGCGGTCACCACCCTCCCCAGGCAAGCTGCTGTAGCCAAGAACGACGAGAAGCTGGGCAAGAAGCGTACGAGGCAGACGATGGTGCTGGAGTTAGGCGAGTCCTTGCAAATAGCACGTCCGCCGAAAGTCCCGACACCGGTTGTGCGGAGCGTAGGAGTTCGGCAACAGCTTAAAGAAGCCAGAGAGAATGTGGAGTCGTGCTTCGAGACCAACAAGGACGACAACTGTAATGGACCCCTCGATGCCAAAGAGAGGCCCCGAGATGCGCAGCTTAAGCCGCAATTCCAGAGGCCGAATGTTCGACGACAGCATGGTGAGAATGGAGGGAATGGAGGTGAAGAGCGCGCACCAATTAGGAGGCAAGCTCCATTCAAGCGTGCTGCTGCAGCATCTCAACCTCTGGACGCGTCTATTGAAAGGCTCCATCGAGAGGCTACCTGCAGCAAGCTGTGGCAACAATCAGGTTTGTTATATTCTCCGGTAATACGGTAGTTTTTTTCCTGTTTTTCTTTTTTTTTTTTGGCCTTGGTTTTTCCTGTCTTTTTCTTCTTCGAAAGAGAGAAAATGGTTAGGGTCGCTGACTAAGTCAGATGCTGGCAACATTATGACGCTAGATGCTTCATAGTTTCTGTCAGTGTTATGCTTACTCACGTACTGTTTTTCTACAGTTTTGAGTCGACTGTGTGTGTAACATGGCAAGCAGCTGCCGCTCTTTATATGCAAGTCCACCAAAAGGTTCATCGGACGTGGAAGAGCAAGGGATTTTGCTCAATGAAAATTGCAGCGCTGCTGTTTGGGCTGATCGCACAGAGTAGTTATCAAACCTGCTTGGGCGTGTAGGACTACGTATCTGGGATGGATTTTTGACGGTGTAAAAGTCTGTGCAGGCCAACCAGCGGAGACAGAGCTGCAGCGCGTTCCAGGAAGCTTTGCATCTTTAGAAGAATACGTACAAGTATTCGAACCACTACTGTTTGAAGAGTGCCGGGCACAGCTGTTCAATGTCTGGGAGGAGCTTCGTGACTCAGGAAAGGAAGTACACACTTCCGCGATGATCAAAGCAGTTGATAAACGCGACAGAGGTATGTGCCTTGTGATTCTGGTTCTGATTCTGATGCATGGTAACTAAACATTTGTTACCAGGATGGTACGATGTCACTTTACTTCCTCTGGACGCTCGTACTCGCTTTAACTTCAAAGAAGGCGACGTGGCAGTTTTGTCGACACCGCCTCAAGGTAGTGTGTCCATTTGTCTTTCTCAAAAGAAATTGAGCTTTAAGCTGGTGCTTATAATACAGACGCTCAACGCAAGAATGGCAGTGAAGATGCCAAAGAGGAAGGCGAAATATCGATTCACATTGCTGGTATTGCCCGCCGGTACATGCCCCTTGACGTTCGTGACGCCCATGGAGCTGTTATGTTCATCAACTTTTCCGAACTTAACGGAGATACTGGGTGAGTTATTTCCGTTTGAGCTAAACTTTGCTATCGTTGTCTAACTCGGTTTTGTTTGAAGAGGTGGCTACCCCAATCACTTGTTGGACGACTTGCGTCAAGGTGGTGTATGGTCGTTCACTGTTTTAGGAGGCCTTGCGACTACACAGCGTGAATATGTTGCCCTTCATGCTCTCTACCGCCTGCACCCTCAGGTAAATTGTTTTCTTGGTTCTTTCATGGATTTTACGAGTGGTCCATTCACAGATGCTCAAGGCGATATTGCAGCCACGGCCCGAGCTATTTCCTCGCTATGACCAGGAGCAAGCGGTTATGCTTAGCTGTTTCACTCCAGGGTTTACTGAGTACTTGCGCAACAATTTCAATGCTCCGCAACTGTCGGCTATACAATGGGCGGCTATGCACACGGCTGCCGGCACTGCTGCAGCTACGAGATCACAGGAAATATGGCCTTTTAGCCTGGTGCAAGGGCCGCCTGGGACAGGGAAAACACATACGGTCTGGGGGATGCTGAACGCTATCCACCTTGTGCAGTATCAGAGGTACTACACCGCTCTCCTCAAGAAAATTGCACCTGGTGCAGTAGTCTCGGATGCTTCTGCTGGCGATGACGAGCAGGGAGGGTGGATTGATGAGGTTTTGCAGAAGATGGACAAGAGTCTCCTCCGACAGCTTCCAAAGCTTTGCCCGAAGCCCCGGATGCTTGTCTGTGCTCCCTCGAATGCAGCAACAGATGAACTGCTTTCTCGTGTGCTGGACAAAGGTTTTATGGACGGCGAGATGAGGGTATATCGGCCTGACGTGGCTCGCGTGGGAACAGATCCGCAGTCCAAGGCAGCGCAGGCAGTTTCCGTGGAAAAGAGAACGGAGTCGCTCATTGGAAAAGGGCGGGACGAGATTTTAGAGTGGCTTCAGCGGATGCGGCTGCGGGAGTATGCTCTATCACAGCATATAGCGGTGCTACAAAAGGACTTAAATGCCAGTCGGGTCCAGGGCGCAGTCGGTGTCGAGCCCGAGGTGCTTACGGCCCGCGACCAGGCCAGAGACATGAAGCTGCAGCAGCTGGCATCGCTGCTGGAAGAAAGAGATAAGGTGCTGGTTGACATGTCCCGGTTTGTGATTGTTGACAACCTTCATAAGCCGGGTGGTGGATATGGTCTCGAGGACGCGAAGAGCAAGCTCGAAGCGAGCTTTGCGAATGAGGCGGAGATCGTGTTCACCACAGTTTCCAGCAGCGGTCGTAAACTCTTCACCAATCTGGCCCGTGGTTTTGACATCGTGGTTATTGATGAAGCAGCACAAGCCAGCGAACTAGGCGTGCTACCTCCACTCATCCTTGGAGCAGCCCGCTGTGTCCTGGTTGGTGATCCGCAGCAGCTCCCAGCGACTGTCATTAGCCGGGTGGCGGACACCATGCAGTATTCGCGAAGCTTGTTCGAGCGGTTTCAACAAGCGGGATGTCCGACGCTCATGCTGACAGTCCAGTATCGCATGCATCCTCAAATTCGGGATTTTCCATCTCGGCATTTTTATCAGGGCCGTCTCCAGGACAGTGACAGCGTCAAGGGCTTGCCGGACGAGATTTACCACCATGACCCGCTGCTGCAGCCTTACCTCTTTTTCGACGTGAGCCACGGAAAGGAGTCGCACATCAGCGGCTCGGTCTCGTTTCAGAATGTTGTCGAGGCCAAGTTTGCAGCCAAGCTGTATGACCACCTCCAAGGTGTTTTGAAGGCGGCAGGGAGGCAGCAGGCGACCGTGGGTGTCATATCTCCTTACAAGCTTCAACTGAGGTGCATACAGAGGGAATTCGAGTCTCTCTCTGGTGATGCCAAGGGAGTTTACATCAACACGGTGGATGCATTCCAGGGGCAGGAAAGGGACGTGATTATAATGTCTTGCGTCCGAGCTTCTAACCACGGGGTGGGATTCGTAGCGGACATAAGGCGGATGAACGTGGCTTTGACTCGAGCTCGTCGATCGCTATGGGTAAGATTTTGTATTTTTTTATCACTTTTTCCTGGCTGAAGCCATGCATGCGCTGCGCAGGTTATAGGCAATGCCGGTACGTTGGAGCAGTCTGAAGATTGGGCTAAGCTCATAGAAGATGCAAAGTCGAGGAACTGTTTCATCACCTCGGCTGCAGCAGTGGAGAAGGGCCTCATCAGTGACGGGGTTTTAAGTCAGGTTCTCAGGGAGCCGACGTTGCCAAGCTCGTTGTCACGGCTGGATGGTCATAATAGAGCAGGCAGTGATTTGAGAGGGACGAGAGATAACAACAAGCCAGGTAGGCGTGGGAGGTACGAAGCGGAAGCCGAGAGAAAGACTGCCGATAATTATCTGAGGCAGCACAACAGTTTCAGAAGAGGGTGACGCTGAAAAACAGATTAAAGCTCTTCTTCCATCGTTTTTCCTCGCTTTTCGAGGCCACAGCAACATGTACATGACAAGAGACCAGGAGACTCGAGATGGTTTGTTTCGTGGGCAACAAGGATGGCTTTACTTGTTGTTTTGATAACTATAGGTGGTACTTGCGATTTTCCCTCTCGATCTCGACGTGATGTACATATACATATACTTCACATTTCTCACTGTGCTAGACTCGTTCCAGCGCGAGCAAGCTTAGAAAACTACCATTGTAGAACACATTGACTGTTGGAAAAAAAAAGTTTCACCATTGAAGATCAAGTATACAGGAGTTACAACGACACTTAGATTAATAGGAAAAAGAAAGGAGAGGCAAAAGCTACTCGAGTTCCAGGAAGAACAAGCTCAAGAGCTCGTGAACTTGGTGACGGCCTTGGTCCCTTCGGACACGGCATGCTTGGCGAGCTCGCCGGGAAGGATGAGACGAACCGCCGTCTGGATCTCCCGCGAGGTGATTGTGGGCTTTTTGTTGTAGCGAGCCAACCTCGAGGCCTCCTGCGCTAGCTTCTCGAAGATGTCGTTGATGAAGCTGTTCATGATCCCCATGGCCTTGCTCGAAATGCCCGTCTCGGGGTGGACCTGCTTGAGTACCTTGTATATGTACATCTTGTACGTCTCCACGCTCTTCTTCATCTTGCGCTTCTTCTTGTCCGCCGCCGCCGATGGATCCTTGGCCGGGGTCTTCTTCTCCGCCCGCGGCTTCTTCTCCGCCGCCTTCTTCTCCGCTGGGACCTTCTCAGCTACAGGCTTCTTCTCCGCTGCCTTGGCCATCGCTCCGCCGCTTGGGAATCCGAGAGAGAGAGAGACAGAGAGAAAGAGAGGCTCTGCCTACTGATTTGAGAGCTAGCGCTACCACTTACTCCTCTCGCACACACCAGGAAGATTGCTCGCCAATGGAAAACCCCTAGCTCCGTGAAAATCTTATAAACACCTGATTCCTGCGCTCCCATTGGCTCTCGCGGCGCGACGAGGATCAACCTCCCAGCCAACGACATCGCAACCCGCCACGTCGGCGATCTCCATCCTGGCCGTTGGTTCTGGCAGTTTGGCGCCTCTTATTTTGGGGCCTTTAATATTTTGTGGAGGGAGTCCAGACATTATGCTCGAGTTACGATGCTTTATATTAACACAAGGAAGAATTGCAACTTTCGATTTTTCTCAAGCAATGGTGTACAAGGAAGAAAAATAGATCTATGCCATGTAAATAACATAGTGTATAATAACAACACCACCTTCACATTTGTCACCAGGCGCTACCAGGGGACACGGTAATGCCGTGCGAAGCAACAACTTGAGGCTGGAATCGGCTTCCAAATGACTCGGAGCAAACGTCCGACATCTCCGATCCCACAAAGCTTGGCGCGCTCGTGTTCTTGCCGCTGGGTCTAAGCAGCTGCGTGAGATTCCAAACCACCTTGAGCCGGTTTACTTCTTTCGCAGCGTGAACCTGTATGTCGAGTTTTAGCTACACACCAAACGCAAGGAAAAGAAGAAAAAGAATCGCTTCTTCTACCTCAACGTTGAAACGAGCCCAAATCTTATCGTTCCGCGACTCCATCACACCCTTCAGGATTGTAAGCCCAAGACCCCGGATGTTGTCAGCAATCTCCCAGAATAAGCCTCTCTCCTCGCACAACATCTGAGAGCACGAGAAATCAGCCGACGACAATATATTAAGCACTGATTCACCAACCTCAACAAGCATTTGCCGTGGCTGCTTGAGATTCTCCACAAGAATCGGAACGCCACTTCCTTTCGCATCAAGCTCCATAGCCCAGCTTGCACCGTTCTCCAAGCCACTGCTGTTCTCTGCACTCCTCTCTCCCTGTTAAGTTGTCCAAATTAGACGATATTCGATGCAAAGACACAGCCTTCGTTCACCTTTACGTCGCCTCCAGCTTTCCACTTGTCACCGTGCTGCGTCACACTTTGGAGAAACTTCATATGCCGGATTGTTTTCTCTAGCAGCGCATCAATGCTACACTGCTACACAAAACAAGTAGAAGGTGAACATCCATTTTACTGCATGAAGGACGACGCTTACCTTTGTTGCATTGGGAACAATATCGCGAAGCTCCCTAACTCTGTCCTGTATTTGCTGCCTGTCTTTGGGCCTGGGCCTTGGAGCTTCCCCTGGCCTCAGCCTCTTCCTCCCAGTCATCCGACTAGGCTCCTCCTGCTTTCTGGCTGCCGCTCCGCTAGTATCCTTGTACGAGTGTTCCTCCGACTTCTTAGCCTGGCTCCCTTCGGTCCAAGAGCTTGAAGAAACATCCACGGACACGCTGCTTGCAGGCCAGTTGGCAGCTATATCTCTGTCCAAACTCGAAGAGCTCGATAGCTGCTTCTCCAGATATTGCACCGCGTTCCCAACAGTTAGCGCGGGAGCGCATCCTAATGAACTCTTGGCAGATGTCGGTCCCCTGGAACCCAGTGACGACGTACTCGCACCGGCAACAACAGCATCCAACAGCTGCTCTGGCCTGTCCGCCGACAGATTGACAAATGCATCGCGGGTTTTGTCCATTGCAGCGGTGGCGCCATCAAAGGGTAGAGCAAGCTTCGCAGGTTTCATGTCTTCAACCGGTTGTGTTGGTATGTTCACGTACAGTTCCTCCTTACTTGGCCCGCACTTTGAATGAGAAACCACCACCTCGGATAATTCATCCCCGAAAGCGAACTGTGAACAGGTTGTCGAACCGCTGGCTTGGCCTCCCGCATACTCCTTATTCAGAGACGCTAACAAGTTGTTGAAATCATCCAAGTCGTCCTTCTGAAACGCCTTAAACAAACTGTTGTAGTCAAATCCTTCTTCTGGTCCCGGCCGCATCATCCCTGCCTCGTCTCCAAAGGAAGTTGGCAGCGGCAGGTTCTGATCATAATCTCTTGTTGACACAGGCAAGGTGGAGTCCGGCGGAGGCCATCCGCTGGAGTCGAAGTGCCTGATGCTTTGTCCGTAGGAAAGCTCGCTGGAGAAATTAGATAGCCGCCCTGCCTCCGATGAATTAAAGAAACTCTCCACAGGAGCTTTGCTGATCAAGCGGCTTAAATGGCCTGGATCTTCCTGGAAGACCTGAGATCTGGAACAGTAGAGACCCGTAGAGGCGGGGCGTATATCCTGTGGCTTCTGCCCCATGGATGGAACTACCATTGAAGCCCAGCTGCTCGTAGAAAGTTGGAAGGCAGGCTCAACAACTTTGGCCGCTGAACGCAACATGTGTTCTCCCTCCGTAGGAACGGGGCACGCTGGTCGGCTGCTCATGGTTGTTCTTGCAGAAGAGCCAAATGCTGCCAACATAGAAGCGGGCTTGTTGACGTACGTTGGCATGGCTTTCGGGACAACAGAAAGGCCTCTTCCAGCTTGTCCATCGGGAGTGAACTCAGGAACGAATGCCCCAGGCATGCTTTGTAATGCTCCGAACAATGCTCTGATCTGGCCTACCAAGTTCAGATCCTCGGCCATCTGCAAGGGCACACACAGTTACTTGAGTAAGAGCTGGGAGAAGCTACACACCGTTTGAGTCGATCCAAGTTGCACAACACCTTGCTGCTGGACTGCTATCACAGCAATCGTCTGGACACCAAAGAGTTAAGGACTCCCTCGAATGAAAGCTACTATACCTTTATTCCCGCTTCAAACTGATTCGACCAGCCGTGCTCCAATGCCGCTGGTACTCCGCTTTCCATAGATCTTTCCCCAGCTGCAAACACCCACTGGTGCTTTCCGGAGAAAGCTACACGCCCAATTATTCTGCCCGAGAGGAAAGTTGGGTTAGCCACGACACCGACAACCGAGTTGCGTACCCTTCTCCCAGGGAGTAAACCTGGAAGGACATTTTAGCGACAGCCAACTGTATCTGATCTTCGGCAATGCCACCATCTTGCTTGAGCAGCAGCATGTCCAGAGGGCTTCTCCCATTCCCAGCGCCGCTGCGGCTCAAAGCATTGGCGATTGGTGGCAGCGTCGCGAATTCGTAGTAGCTGTCCTCCCATGTCAGCACCCTGCAATAAAAACACAGCGAGAAAAAACGCATAAGAGACAAGCTAAGTCAACAGTAGCTAAAAAAACCCAAGAGAGGCAGTGCAGTGCCACCTCCAGTTAGCAGGAGATCAAGCAAGAGAGCTCTCTCTCTCTCTCTCTCTTGAGCACAAGCGAAGCGAAAGGGATGATTTACTCACATACGGCTGCGTCGCTTTAGCTTCCAAAACACAGCGTAGCACCAGCCAGTCCTGTTGCAAAGACTCCGGAGAGCCTGGCCCAGACCCTCCGCCGACATGATAGCAATGCCCGCGATGATCTGGGACGATCTTCCACAATGATCTTGAGATGAGCCGCAAAACCAAAATGCCCAAAATGCGAGCCTAGCCCCCTTTGTTCTTCCTCCTCGCTGCGTGCCTTGCTTGCTTCTCCTCTGTCAGCTCAGGACCAGGCTCACTCCCCCAGCTTCCGCAAACAGTGAAAAGCAAACGAAGCCCGGCGAACTCGTTTCCCTGGAATCCCCCCCTTTCAGATTATGATGATCGCTCGCAGGCAGTGGTAGTCCCTCTCCGTCTCCCTGGGCACACGAACTTCGTCGACTACTCGCACGCGGCCGCCGTGACTCCCACACCGCTGCTGCTGCTGCTGCTGCTGCTGCTTCCTCATCCTAGGCTCGCAAGCAAGGCGGAGGAAGGGATGGAGAGCACACACACGCACAGCGCCGCCTTAGAGCCACCGATCGAGACCAAGAGCGCGTCCTGTAGCTAAGACATATTTCGGCCCCCCGCGCGCGCCTCTCCGGCCAAGGGAAAGAAGGACGATTCCAGCTCTCTCATGGAGCCTGGAGACCTGGCGCTGCGTCGCGAGCTGAGATTTCGAGAGCTCTTGGGCGATGGATGTGGATCGAGCGCGCGATACCTAAAATGGAGAGAGGAGAATCCCTCGGAGCAAATAGATAGATAGATAGGCGAGAAAGAAACAATGTAGTGTAGCAGTGTAGTGTAAATCTTGGATACACGACCTAGGTAGAGGGGGCTTTAAGGACAGGTCGCTGCCAAACAGCAGCGCGGTGTGAAAGCGAGCCCAAGGGGATGCTTTTTACGGGTATGTCTACGTACACGTGTGCAGATACGTATTCCTTCCCCTCCTGGACAATTTCCTTGTTTTTAACTCGCCCAGTAAATCTAGTAGTGATGCTGCTGCGAGGCAACAAGGCAAGCACTCATTCCCTTGGCCTGGGAATTTCAAGCTTTGTTTTTGTGTACCGCCCATGTTTCTATGTATGTATGTGCCTTGTATTGTATGGATGAGATGCGGAGCAAAGCAAGATGAGGATTGCCAAGCAGGAAAGATTAAACAAAAGACCTTTTAAAGATGAGGGAAACAAAGTTGACAAGTACATTGCAACAAAGTGTTCGGGGCATCTTGTGGCAGAGAGAGTTAGCCATGATCACCAAACATTTTTGTTATAAGTGGGATTCCTCTCCAAGCTTTGGCACTAGGATCAATCAGGGGTGAGTGAGTGAGACCCCGAAACCACTCACACAAATTTGTGGACCCCTGGAGAGCAAGCGGACAAACAAAATGATGCACGCAACATCGACGTCACCGGAGATTTCATCACAAAGAACGAACTGGAGGGCGAGTGTGTTTTAGGACCGCAACTAAGCCAGCTCCAAGATTTTGATTCATCTTCCCTGGCTCCCAAAAAGCAATCACAGCTTTTTCAACTCTTTCTTTGCTCAGTGTTGCGGTGATAGTGGGAGGCGGGGGAGGGAGCTTATTTTCAAGTCCTTTTTGCTAATGTATTGGCATTGTCCTATCATTGTCAAAGTGACAATCTCGTTCGTTGTTTAGAATAAAGGGGGAATAAAGAATGGACAAAAGGATTCCATGGATGGCAACACCAAAGGGACATGAAGATAGACGAAAATCGTCGCCACTTGTACTGTTAAGTTAGGAATCCATGTGATCCCTCCACCCATATTTATAAAATCTCAATATCTATAGATCGAGCTTGCCAACTTGCTTTGAATCTTCGTTCTTAGATGGATTGAAAGCCCCGAGAATCTGATGCATCATTATCACTAATGTAGACGAAAGAAATATGGGCAACCGGGATACGGCATACGAATACGGGCCACCGGTTGCGGTTGTATCCAGTATAGATTCCCGCCCGGACGGCGCCGCCTGCGGCTTACCGCCACCACGCGACTGCGGCGGCGGACGGCCATCATGTCTGACGCCCTTGTCCCCCACACTCCCGGCACCAGCACCAGCAAACTCATACGGTAACCGCGGTTCCATTGGTTGGGACTGGGTCAGTTATGACATTACAAGAGAGGGAAATCCTGAGGGAAAATGATACACCCCACATCATAGCAGCCCACCACTGCCTGCCTGCTGCTGCCCTTCTCTTCCCTCTGCTTCATTCAAAGTGTCAGGTGACTCTGCAGCACAAAAATGTCAGCAAGTCTACTTGAATACAGAAAAAAGACACTTTAGTATTATAGGCCCTAGTTAGATTTTGCCCTAGAATGGCTGCCCTTTGGGCCAGCCTGGCTGCTGCCACACACTCACTCACTGCTCTTGGCTGCAGCTGCTGCTACATCCACAAGAGAGAGCAACCAGGAGGGAGATTTCCATCTTTCCATTTCTTGGTACAGCATACAATGCTCCCACACATCTTCCAAGAGAGTGGGTACAGAGAAGCAGCAGCTGCTGCTCTGGCTGCTGCTACTGGCTGCTGCGGCTGTTGGGTCTGGAATTTGTCCACCAAGATCCTTGGCAGTTGATTCATAACAAAAATATACATTGGATAGCTCCATTCAAAAATAAGGGTTTATAACTGCCTGCATATTCCCCTCAAAAAGAGCTGAAGCCGCTCTATACACTCTATACCCTCTCTACCTCCAATGCAGAAAGAGACGGCCATGCATGACATGATTCCTGCTTCCAGATTGACACCCCCTTGTGCATATAAAAACTCCAGGGATTGTGCTCATCTCTCGTTTTCTATAGTCTTTAGAAAAATGTGGCCGCAGCATTGGGTGTATAAAAATTGGCTGGTTTGGAAAACATCGCTCTCACACATTACCACACAAAATGGTATTCAACTCAACTCTAGCAAGGGAGGGAATTGTTTGTTTTGGTTTCTCAAGGAGGGCGGGGACACCAAGTGGCGTAGTGGCATCTAGCTTTGTGGCAGGGATGGATATTCGCCCGGGAACTATTTGTTGACGTAGACCGCAGCCGGTGGCTAGGGGAGCGGCCTTACCCCCATCCACATTGCATGATGCCACCCACGTCTTTTGAGACGGGCCAGGGGCCGTCGGATCCTTCCCATCCCACGGCCGCAGCGTCAGTGGAGCAAACGCTCTTTTTTATGCTCCGGTGAGGAACGCGCTCTGGGATGACGTCGCAGATCCTGATACGAACCGGGAGTTATATAGTGGTGATTGACCTCAAGCACCTTAATTCCAAATCTTCCACCCGGATCATCCTTTTTCTTGTTAAAAGCACGAACTGGAAGAGGGAATGAATGATCGAGAGCAAAACCAGGACGAAGAAGAATAGCTTAACTTCTTTTCTTTTTCTCGTACCGCAAAGCTGGCGAAAGAGGAGAAGCGGCGAGCCAAGGAGCCAAATTGTGTTTGTTGCCTGATTGCGACATAAAGGAGAGCCCCTCAGGGAGAGAGAGAGAGAGAGAGAGAGAGAGAGAGGTCTCCTCCCTCCTCTGCTGCTGCTACAAACCAAGCGAGCCTTGCTCTTTTTCCACTTTGGACGCTTCCTTCCAGAGGGAGAGGCCCCCACAAATTATAATATGCGCGAGGGAAGGACAAAACGCAAGATTGCAAGCCGCGAGAGAAAGCTGCTGTCCTCTAGCTCTCGTACTAACACTCACCAGGTGCCTCAAGACGGATGTAGTCATACATAACCCCCACAATGGGACTTGTTGGCTTGCGCTGCGTCAAGTAGAGAATGTTTTCACCGGCTCTGAATAACTCCGACCTCGCGTCCACATTCCAAAGGTGGTAGAGGCCATGGATTCCATGGCGTGCTATTGCATTGTCCTTGCCAAATTGCATCGTGTCAAATACCGTGGTCCTTGTATTGGGGTCATTAACTCTGACCTGCGGTTGAAACACAGCGTTAGCGTTAAAACACCTTTTTGTACCTGAATGGCTGCATTGTTTGATGCCGCGAAAGCTAACCGGAGCTTATAAACCCCGCCTTGGACGCAGGGCAGATGAAACCGGATCTGCCAAGTCGATGGTTTGACGCTACCATCCTTTTCAATTCTGCAGCACCGCAAGCGGAAAAGGTTTTAAAAAATATTTCCATCAGTAGGTGAGCGTGAGTATTGAGGAAGTCGTGACATTGTACCGGCAAGTATGTGCAAAGAACCAATCAGATCTCCAATCGCTTTTACCAATGGTGAACACAAGATCACCTTCTGGGTATAGCTCCGAGTACCGCTCCCACAGGCCATAATGTCGATATCTACAATAAAGTATTCAGATCTTGTAAGGAGAAAAGTAAGATTGCCAGCCACCGAAAAAAAGCAAAACCGAGAGTGTGCGTACCTTTCCGAATGGTTGACAAAAAGCCTATTGATATACTTTGGGTTCGGATCCGGAATGTGAAACTCGGCAGCTGTTCGATCGGGAATTCCAATCTCCCAGACTGTCGGTCCATCCCTGGGCGGTTCATAAACTATATGTCCCAGTTGCAACCATGACCCTGCATACATAGTGAGTTTTGTGACTCTTGGAAGTGGCAACACTGCGTGGAATACAAACCGGGATGGACATCTATGCTGCCTTCCTTTTTGTAGTCACCCAGGACACCAGGCACCCAGCCATACAGATCATATTTGCCTGCTCTGACATGCTTGACGTGGAAATATCCCTCCGCATCAGCCTGGGCCCAAAATTGGTAGCCCTGGCAGCAACAAACAAGTCAGGTACATCGTCCATTAACCCCCACAAAAGAAAAAGCATTCACCTTGCTCTCCGTTTGCCACGAACCTTTGTCACCGGGGGAAGCTAAGCCAAGAAAGGCATAACATCCCGCAAATGGGGTTGGTGACGCGAATCTACAATGCCACAGAAAAACATATGAACCGAGGACAGCAGCTCATAATGAAACAGTACCTATCTTTGACTAGTAGTCTTCCTGAAATGCTTCCGCGGTCCATTGATTTGGGAAAATCTGGAGACACAGGCCAGGGAACAGGCCACGACCCCACTTCTGTAACCATCTGAAACACAGGAGGTAAAAGAAACAAAAAATATCCGCATAGACATATCACCTGCTGCTTTGCATCCTCCCAAAGATAGCGACAATTCACCTGAGCATGAGTTGCCGCTACATTCAAATATATGAAAACCGGTCCAAAAACTTTAGTCCAGGCTTCCCCATTGCGAAACTCTGGGCACAGGGCTGCGCCAGCGTAATGTGCACTGTGAAACATCTGGTGGAAACAAAAACAAGAAATCTAGAGAGCTTCAATATCCAAAGTTCTTAACTTACAGCGAGACATGTCGGGCCAACGTGTGAAGTCAAATTTTGTTTCAAAGGCCCTCCATTGCGGAACTCGTCACTGGCGGTGATTATCCAGAAGCCTAGAGCGGGGTTGCATGAGATCCAACCATGTACTCTGTTCTCCCTGTTATCACAAGAATATTGATATTTGTCATCCACCTGCCCAAAAATGTTACAGAAATTTATACTCAACAAAAACATAGTGTTAATCCCATACCTCACCTCGAAACTCAGGATTTTGAGAAGTGTGAATCAAAACAGCCTCGGGATAAGCTAGCTGCGTGCAGTGTTGCTGCAAGCGATCATCCGGCGATGGCATTAGCCGCTGTTTTGTATCGGCCATTGCCATGAACTGGAACCTACAAGCCAGCAAAGTATCAAGAAGGATGAAAGCTCGGATATTTTTCCAGACCTGTCCTTCCGGAGTTTAAAAGTCACCCGTGTTTGATTAAGGTTGAAGTCTGGCCATCCAGCCGGCCTCTCGTAGATTCCGTAAGTGTAAAATCCAGTGTTGCCACGGAGAAGAACAAATCTACGTTTTAAGCCAACAAAGCTAGCTACTAGCACACAATGAAAAGAGAATCACTCACCTTTTGTCGATGTTAAGAGGAAGCATCTTAGTTCCCGGAATGTAAGGCCGCAGAAACGAAAGTTCCACCTTGTCACCATCGCTACACACAACCTGGAAAATTGTTCCACTGGGACTGAAAAATCGTAGCGATGGCTGATCGGTTAGCAATCACGATTACGAGTAAACAAAGTTTGCCTTACACATCGAAAGTGTCCTTGCCTCCAGGCTCGTTCCAGTTGAGGTCCCAGTAGCTTAAAGGCAGCAAAGAATGAAAAATAAAACAATCAGGTGCTTGCTCGCTAGACGAGAAAGGAATGAAAGCAAACAAACAAACCCGCGATTGGTCTCCTTGTTGTGAATCTCGAGCAGATTATCAATGCCCCCGAAGCGAATCCCCGTCACAATGCCCCCAGGCCTCGAGATCGTCACCTCGACAATCCCGTTGTCCAGAATCACCTGTGCAACATGAGAAAACAAGGATCGAGAACCGATCACTCACATGGCTGCCGCGATCGATAAGCCGCACATCGGGACCCTGGCATCCGCCCCCGGGAACGCGATTGCAGCTCATTCTTTTCTTCTTTCTAACAATTTCCAAGAACCCTAAAATGGTGAAGAATTTTGAATGCCCCCTGCCCTTGGTTGGCTCAACGAGGATGCCTTCACTTCTCTTCTCCGATCGTGTGCCAGGGCCAGGGATCTCATCCAGGGCCGCAAGATCCACGCTCGGATCCTCTCCTCGAGCCGGCGGACGAGCGTTTTCATCGCGAATCACATTCTCCTCATGTACTGCGCGTGCGGGAGCTTGGGCGAGGCGAGGGCAGTGTTCCATGGGATCGCGCAGCCAAACACAGTGTCGTGGAATATCCTGGCCGCGGCGTGCGCGCAAGCGGGAGAGATCTCCGAATCGCGCGCCCTCTTCGACAGCAATCCCAGGCGAGACGTGGTGTCGTGGAATTCGCTGTGCCGCGCGTATGCCTCGGGAGGGCAATGCCACCACGCAGCGGCGGTGATCCACAGCATGCCAATGCACGATGCCGTGTCCTGGAATTCATGGATCTCGCTCCACGCCCAGGCCGGAGACGTCGCGGGAGTGAAGCTCCTGTTCGATGCGGCTCCCCAGCGCAGCCATGTCTCGTGGAACCTCGTCATCAAGACGTGCGCGCAAGGGGGGCATACCCGCGGCGCCAAAGACGTGTTCGATCGCGCGCCAGGATGGGACAATGTCTGCTGGATCAGTATGATCCTTGCAGCGTCCGAAGAGGGGCAAATCGCGCAATCAAAATCTATCTTCGACTCCATGCCTGAGAGGGATCCCCAGGTCTGGAACACCATGATCACTGCATATACCCAAACTGGGTATGTTGAGAAAGGCAAAAGACTCTACGAAAAGATGCCATTGCAAGACACAGTCTCCAGCACCGCACTCCTGGCGGCATATTCGCAGAGCAGCAGCGTCCAGGATGCGCAGCATTTGTTCCACTCACTGCCCTACAAAGACGGGGTGACGTGGACGACGATGCTGACGGTATTTGCCCAGAAAGGGGAAATCTGTCTCGCAGAGGAGCTGTACCGAAGGATGCCGCAGTGGGACGTGGTGTCGTGGACGGCCATGATGTGGGGTTTTGCAGCAAACGGCCATCCCGGACGTGCAAAGGGAATGTTCGATTTGATGCCTCAGCGGAACCTTGTGTCGTGGAACTCGATCCTTTCCGCTTTTGCGCAGCAGGGGGAGTTTGAACACGCGACGCTTCTCTTTGATGAGATGCCCTTGAGGGATGCGCTGACATGGACGGCCATGATTGCGGCACACGCGCAGCACGGCCATCTCGGCGAGGCAAAGGCCTTCTTTTCCAAAATGCCACTGCACCACGCACTGTCGCTCAAGTCGATGTGCCAGGCGTACGCTTCGGCCGGAGAGACTGGCAACGCGAAGCGAATGTTCGATTCCATCCCCGAGCGCGATGCCTTCGTGTGGAACACGATGATTGGCGCATTCGCGTGGTGCGGCGAGAGGCTGGCCGAGGCAAGATCCGCCTTCGAGCTGATGCCGTGTCGGAACATCGTGTCGTGGAACACAATCGTGAGGAGCTACGCCACTTCGGGCGCCGCCCTCGATCAAACCGAGCTCCTCTTCGACTGGATGCCCGAGAGAGACGACATCTCCTGGGCGATCTTGCTGGGAGCCTACTCCGACCACGCATGCCTCGCCCAGGCGAAGTCCCTGTTTGATGCCATGCCCAAGAGCGACGTCGTCCCGTGGAACATCATCATCACCGCATATTCCCACTCCCGCCAGCCGGACGACGCCCGCCGTGCGTTTGAAAAGATTCCCGCGCGGGCGCCTGCCACCTGGACGGCCATGATTGCCGGGAGCGCCCAGAACGGGGATCTCCCCGCTGCCAAGCGGCTCTTCGACGGCTCCCCGGAACGCACGCTCGTATCATGGAACGCGATGCTTGGGGCGTACGGGGGATCCGGGAATCATACGAATCTCCTGGAGCAAGTGTTCGGAAAGATGGCCGCGAGGGACAGCGTTTCGTGGACGACGCTTGTGACGGCATTTGCACGGAGAGGGCGGATGGACCAAGCGGCGGATGCCCTGGGAAAGATGCCCAAGGAGGACACCGCGGCGTGGAACTCGTTGCTCCATGGATATGCCCAGACTGGGGATCTGGAAGGTGCGCGGAGGACGTTCGATGGTACCAGACACAAGGACACTGCGTCATGGGCTACCATGGTCGGGGCATATGCCCGCGTTGGCTGCCTTGAGGAAGTTAGCAGACTCTTTTGTGAAATGCCCAGCAAGGACTTGGTGTCGTGGAACACTGTTATTGCAGCATATGCCCAAAACGGGCATCACCGGGAGGCGTTTGAGTGCTTTCGACTCATGAGCTTGGAAGGCTTGACACCGGATGAGATCACCTTCTCCGCCGTGCTGGCTGCCTGCAGCCACATCGGGCTCATGGACGTGAGTGTCTCTTGGTTTGCTTGCATTGGTGGCGACTTTGGGTTTTGCGCGACTGGAGATCACTACTGCTCCATGGTTGACATCTTTGCTCGCTGCGGTAGGCTTGACGAGGCGGCCGAGCTCGTGGAAAGCATGCCGTTTTGGCCTGGCCAAGTTGCGTGGAGGACGCTTCTCGGCGCTTGCAGGACGCAGGAGCAAATCAATCTTGCTTTGGTAGCGGCGCGGCGGGCTCCCGAGGTGGAGAGTCAAGGCGGCCCCGCGGCTTATCTTCTCTTGGCCAATCTGCTCTCGCACTCCAGCCAACGTGAGTAAAGTGGAGATCTTGTGGGATTGCAGAATCCTATTTGATGAGCACACAAACACAAACAACAGGAGAAACTCTGCCACTAGGAAGAGGAAAGAGGTTTTGATATCAGATCTTTCGAGTGGAATTTTGTTCAAACGCTCCTCTGTCATTGACTATACATTGGCTTTACACCAAAAAAGAGCGGATCAGCAACACCAACTTTGATGTTTCCATTGTGCGGTTCTTTCCTAGTCAACAAAGGAGAGCATGAAACGACGGAAGGCCGACTCTTGCCTTATGATGTTGGCTGTTTGGACACTGGTCCGATTGAGGAGGAAGATTTGGAGCTGGATGAAACTGGCCATCCAAACATGGATATTGTCGTTCTTCTTGAGAAAGGTAGGCTCTGATCGCGGTGGCGGCTTTCATGGGTCATCTTTCTTGTTTTGCAGTGCCACAGGTGAGGAAGCATTTTTCATTGTTGTTGCCCCTGGAGCGAGCGGAAGTTGGGAGGATCCAGCGTCTCATTCCAGGGATGAGATCACCAAGAGAAATCTCGATCTCATACAGGATCACCAGGTCCAGGCTCATATCCTCTCCTCGAGCCGGCAGATCAGCGATTTCATCGCAAAATCACGTTTTCCTCATGTACGGGGCGCGAGCTTGGGCGAGTGTCTGATGGAATTGCGCAGCATGTCATACGCAAACGGGAGAAGTCCACGAGTCGCGCGACAGCAATGACGTGGCGTCGTACGAATTTGTGGATCTTGTTCCACGCTCCGTTGGCCTGTTCGATGCGGCTCCTCGGCGCAGCCATGTTTCGTGGGACCTCGTGATCAAGACGTACGCGCAAAATGGGGGGGACACACTCGCGGCGTCGCGCCTGATGGCGAATCATCAATCCAAAGTAACGCATATTCACAGAGAGCAGCTGTACCACTCAATGCCGTACAAAGACGCGGTGATGCTGATGGCATATGCCCAAACGGGGAAACCTGTCTGCCTCTGGGACGTGGTGTGGGCTTTGCAGCGAACGGCGATCCCGGCGATCAAAGGCGGCGTTTGATTTGATGCGTGGAACAGGGGAGCTCGATCACGCCAAGCTTGTCTTCGATGGCATGCCCTTCACTGACGCGGACGCCGATGACGCGCAGCACGGCCATCTCAACGACCCCACGCCCTTCCTTCTCAAAATGCCGCTGCGCCGATGTCGATGTGCTTCGGCCAGAAAGATCATCCGTGTGGAACACGATGATTTGCCGCATTCACGTCGTGCGGTGAGAGGGTGGCCGACGCAAGGCCTGCCTTTGAGCAATTGAGCTGATGCCGTGTCGGAACAGGAACACAATCGTGAGGAGCTACGCCTCTTCCGCCTATCAAACTAAGCTTCTCTTTGGAGATCTCTTGGGCCTCCTGCGACCACGCCTGCCTCGCCCAGGCAAAATGCCTGCCCAAAAGCGACGTCTCATTTGGAAAGATTCCCGTGCGAGGTGCCTGCCACCTGGATGGCATGATTGCGGAGGGTGCTGCCACCTGGATTCGGGCATCATACGCATCTCCTGAAGCTTTGGGGCAGCATGGCACGGTTTCGAATGGTCACTAGGAAAGACGACACCGCGACGAACATGCCCAGAGTGGGGATATGGAAGGGTCTGATTGTACTAGTTACAGGGGCGCTGCGTCGTGGTCTACCATGGTAGGGGCATATGACCGGGATGGCTGCCTTGAATAAGCTAGAATCCTCATTCGCGAAATGCTCAGGAAGGACGAGGTGTTGTGAAAAATGTTGTTGCTGCATATGCCCAAAGGGGGTATCCCTGAGAGGCATTTCGTTGCTTCCGAAGGCGACAGCCATATCAGGCTCATGGACTTGAGCGTCACTTGATTCGCTTGTATCTGCAGCGACTTTGGGTTTGCCCCACTGGAAAATCACTACGTACTGTTCCAAGGTTGAGCTCGTGGAAAGCATGCCGTTCTGTCCGGGCTGCAGGGTCATCTCTTACCTTCTCTTGCCCAATAGGCTCCAGCTAACTTCAGTGAAGTGGATGCTTGAGAGGAGCACTATCACATAGATAGACTCACAGGAATCATATCTCCAGAGAAATTCTACCATTCAAAACGTATCAGATCTCTTGGGGGGGGGAAGGTAAACGGTTTTGTACAAACGCTCCTCTGTCATGCCACACACATTGGCTTGCACCAAGAAGAATGGAAATAATCCCCTTCTTGCTAGCTACGCCAACTTTGATGTTCCCATCGAACGCCATTGACAATCTTGAGCATGGAACACAAACAGAGCTGTCTTCTTTGATTGTGTCACAGTATCTCGCGGATGATGGGGAAACTCGGTCAAAGAAGTTTATAGCAAGGAGGAAATAAAGTGGAGTAGGATGAGCTCATGAGCTCGGCCTTTGTCGTTGAGGTTGAGAGGCGTACGGGGGCTACGTTAGTCAACGCAGGAGGCGGCCTATGATATGGACGCCACCTCAGCCGGCTCAAGTCAACGGAAACGGGACCCATCCCCTTTTGGCGCTATGACGTTGGCCAAAGGGAAATTACACGTGTTTTGCCCCATGGATCAGCCAAGCTAGCCACGCCACCCGCGCTGATTTACACCCACATACACCGCAACAACGCTTTGGGATCTGGAAACATCGATTCCAACGCTCACAGTGTTGGTGAAAAGCAAGACTCAAAAAATAAAGGGAAGAGAGATTCGAAAATGTACATGGGCAATGTAATGTTTGCATATAGAAGCGATCAATCACGATGTTGTAGGTGGTGAAACAAATATTATATTCCCGGATCCCCTTCTCTTATAATGTAAAGTTTACAAACAGGTGTGATCAAACTGCAAGCTCAGCTTACCTACCTTGTAGCTTGGACGCAATGCGAATCTTCGCATGAGATTCGGGCAAAAAGTAAACGGGGCATTCCAGAATAGTTAGGCACGTGGACCGGTTTTCGGCGTTGGATCTTCTCGTCACTAAAAAACTAATCTTGTTTATACACGACTCAAACTCCCGCCCAGTCCGTACGCTTTGGTTCCCAAAATCTGATGCTGTTCTTGTTTATATTAACGTGATTTGTGTTGTTGTATAGTGCCTCTTTTTTTCTTTTCTCTCCTTTCCATTTTCCCCCTTCTTGGCTCCAAGACAAGAGAGAGAGAAGAGGGACAGGGGGGAGATTATTTGCGCTTTGCATGCCATACATTCATCGTCTAGATTATAGGATCGCGAGCGCCTCTTCTCTCGGATCGCCACGCGACGCGATCGTCAATCGGATCGAGGCGCCGGGCGCGGCAGCTCTGGAATGCGGTTCGATTGAGGCGGTTTGTGCAATCCTTTACCTAATTCTCCGCGCTGCCTGCGCCCTTTTCTCCTCCCCCCGCGGATCGCCAGCGGCTGCTTCTCTAGAGCGCTCTCTTGAATCCGAGGCCACGAGCGGCAATCCTGCGCTCAGCCGAGGTTTTTGAGGTAAAATTTCCATGCCGCCAGCTTGCATGGCGCCTTAGAGCTGGGGAATTTGTTGCATGGCTCGCAAATCGATTGATTCGTGCGTTGGATCTTGTGCTGTACAGGTTTTGTCGGTGCTTTTTCAGGAAAGATGGAATCCTCGCAAGCATTTCCGCCCGACAGCCCGGTCATTGCCGGGAAATCTTGCTTCAACTCACACAAGGTCGCGTCCAGGGCGTCATCCACGGAATCGTTGCAGAGGACGGCCGAGTTTAAGCAAGAGATGAGAGAGAACTCGCCACCGGACACCAAGGAGGAGGAGAAGCCCGGCTTCCTTACAGCTTTATGGAGAAAGTTCCGCAGAAAAGACCAGGACGGGCTCGGGACTTACGCTGGTGTGCTCATCCCGACTTGTGAAAATATGTGGGGTAAGCTGCTGCCGGTTTCCATCTCCTTTTCTTTGTCAATTCTCACACACTTTGCCCGTGTGTGCTTTCAGGAGTTTTGATTTTCTTGAGGTTCTTCTACATCGTTGGGAATGCTGGAGTATGGCAATCCTTCTTGGTGGCCATCATCTCCTTCCTCTGCGCGCTGTTGACAACCATGTCGTTGAGTGCTGTCGCTACAAATGGTCCTATAGAAGAAGGTGGCACATAGTAAGTCGTCGAGTTCTCGTGAAGTTGAAAGTCATTCTTCTGTTGGCTGGCAGCTATCTGATATCGAGAGCGCTGGGTCCTAAGTTTGGAGGCGCAGTTGGATGCCTGTACTACATCGGAGTAATGCTTCTTGCAGTTCTCGAAGTAAGTCGGTCTGAACTTCAAGCTTACAGTGAATCGTGATCTTCATAAATGCTATGCTTCCGTCTTTGTGCAGGCACTCGGTGCCGTGGAGATGTTGGAATTTACCTTCTCAGCATTTCGCTTTCCATCTGCAAATCGGATCATTGGTCTGATCATACTCTTTGCTCTTGGACTACTGGTAGGAATAGTTTTGTTGTCGGTTCAGTTCCTTCTTGTGGCAAGACTCAAATGATTTTACTGAACTGCGTGGTTCTCTTGTGTTGACAGGTCTATTTTGGGATCAAATTTGTTTCCAAGCTAGGCATTGCGTTTTTCCTTGTTGTGCTTTATACCATGTTGTCGTATTACCTTGGTTTGTTTACGGCGCCTAATGGAAATGTACCTCCCAGCTTAACTGGCCTTTCGTGGAAAACATTCAAAAGTAACTGGGGTCCAGGATATGAACCTGGTGTTTCATTTTCAGTCGTTTTATCGATTTTCTTTCCATGCTTCACTGGAATTCTCAGGTAACCGCTTTCTCAAGTGAAAACTCTTGTTGTAACTTAATGTCATCTGTTCTTGACAGTGGTGCAGATAGAGCAAAAAATCTCTGGCAGCCGGAGAGATCCATTCCGTCTGGAACTCTTGGAGCGATCGTGATCAGCTTTATAATCTACACATCGTATCTGGGTTTGTGGGCTGCTGTTGGAACCCGAAAGTACTTACTCGGGCAGGATGTTGGACGCGTGCATTCTGGAGAGGGAAGGTTGCAGGCGATGAAAGACGTCGCCTTTCCCTTGCCAATATTGACGCAGCTGGGTATTATCATTGCCTCGCTAGCACAAGCTTTGCAATGCTTAATCACCTCGCCTCGTCTACTCCAGGTCAGTTCTTTTTGCTGGCAACGACTTGTTGGTTCCTTCTTTCTGATCGTTTGATCTTTCAGGCCATCGCTGGAGACCGGATCATTCCTTTCCTGAATCGGCTATCTTCTACCACAGAAAATGGCGAACCCCGAAGGGCGCTGATCTTTACTACTATACTGTGTATGATGGCTGCTATGATCGGAAGTTTGGACAAGATTGCCCCACTAGTTTCGATATGTTTTCTTACTTGTTACGCGGCACTGAACCTCTCGTGTTTCATACTGTCGATCATGCAAGCACCAAGGTATGTCCCGTCCCTTTCACTTCTAAAGTTCAAAGGCCTTATTCGGTGTCATTTCAGCTGGAGACCGAAATGGAAACACTACCACTGGTTCTTCGCTCTTCTAGGATTTTTCCTGTGCTCCGCAATGAACTTTTTTATAGTCTGGTATTGGGCTTTAGCTGCCATGGTGGTTGTGGGGATTATTTACGGGTACATAGACTACCGCCAGGTACTCATAAGTGAACATCTTGGTAAATTGCAGGCCTCTAATTCGTTTCTTACTTCCAGGTTGAGGTTGACTGGGGAACTGGATTAGGAGGATTAAGATGGCAATTGGCGGTCCAGAGCATTTTGTCTGTCGGTCGCGAGGCTCGGTACACGGTCAATTGGAGACCGCAGCTTTTATGCCTTTCTAAACCACGATCTTCGTGGTCCGCTGATGCTCATGCTGGGCACGAACTTTTATCCTTCGCATCTCAGCTGAAAAAGGTAACTGACCATGTCACGAAGACTTGAGTGTGCTGAAGTCTTCCTTAACAGGGTAAAGGTTTATGCGTCGTTAGTGTCGTTCTTGAAGGAAAACTTGAGGATATGATGCCACAAATAACAGCAGAAAGCGTATGTATCACATGCTTGTTTCTGTTCTCTCTACACCGGAAATTATTTTCACTGCAGGTAGAGCTTGAGAATTGTATGCAAGCTGCTCAAGTTACTGGCTTTTCTCGCGTTTTTGTCGCGCCGTCTTACCGCGAGGGGAAAACTTACGCGATTCAATCATCTGGTTTGGGATCGTTAGAACCAAATACATTGCTCCTGGGATGGCCAAAAAACTGGCGAAACGGAGAAGAGAAAAACAGTGCTGAGGTATGTTTCTTTGTGTCAAGTCTGGAAGATAGACGAACGGGTTTTTGTTCAAGCAGGTGCTCTTGGAAACTTTGGGAGAATGCAGAGCTGTAGATAAGGCAGTCGTGCTCTGTATGCATTTGGATGTGTTCCCTAGCAACGGAAGCACGCAGGAGGGGAACATTGACGTTTGGTGGATTGTCCACGATGGTGGCCTTCTACTGATGCTGGCCCATTTGATAAACCAGCATAAGGTCTGGCGGAAATGTAAATTGCGAGTACACACTGTTGCGGAAAGACTTGACAACTCAGAGGAGGTCAAGAACAATCTGCGCAAGCTTTTGGATAAGGTATGGCATTCACATATACGGGTGCAAGAGTTCAACATATTTCACTTTCAGGTTCGCATTGTAGCTGATGTGGAAGTTCTCGAGCTCGAGGACGCGGATTTGGCTCCTTATACATTTGACAACACGATACGCATGGAGGAGGCACTGGCGTATGCAACTGAAGTTGCCCAGTTTCGGTAAGCTGTTCCTTGGGTTTCGTTATTTGTTACATTTCATTTGGACGCACAGGAAACGGGCCGAGAGGGAGACCAAGCCCGGGAAAGGTGGGAACTACAAGGCCCTGCAGAAGTTTTTCAAGAGGGCCTTCCCTGGCGAGCTAAGTTTGCTGCGTGGCGCCTCACCAATCAGCCGGCGTCCTCGATGGGCTCAGCGCTCATCCAAAGCACACTCCGTAGAGGGTCAAGCGTCGCCGGAGTCTGTGCATGACGATGAGCCAGAGAGCTCGACAGCCAACCAGCAAGTTGCGACAGAGGAGAAGGCGGAGAGTTTCTCCAAAGAAGAGCACGACAATCACAATGCTGCTGCTGGGGGTGATGACGAACAGGAAGAGAGCAAGTCGGACTTGGAGATCGTAGTGGAAGGGGTAGCTTCCGAGTTCGCACAGGAGAAGGCAAGACGAAACATCTTCAGGGCCAAGAGCGCGGGACAGTTGCCTCCAATCAGGGAAGGAAAGATGTTCCGCACTGCAAGCGAAGGCCAGCTCTTCCACGGCTCGCCGCTGCTCCTGGGGAGCACTCCCGACATCAACGTGGTGCCGATGAAGAGAACCTGGCATACTTTCAGCCAGAGCTACTCGGCCAAGAAGCTAAACGAGATTATCGTGGAGCAATCCAAGTCAGCGCAGCTCGTCTTGCTCAATCTCCCGGATCACTACGAGGGAATGGAGCCGTGGAGGTATATGGAGTATTGCGAGGAGCTCACGCAGGGACTGCAAAGGGTGGTGCTTGTGAGGGGAACAGGGACCGAGCTCTGGAGCGGATGAAAGAAAGACTTTGCGGATTCTATACATACATAAATGGATCAAGCGAGATAGTCTTATGATGGAGCGGTATATCTTGTTAGAAAATTCACGTGTATCACGTGTGTGTGTGTGTGTGTGTGTGTGTGTGCGTGTGTGTATACAAGAACGCTTGGATCGATTTTTCCTCAGGTTGCGAAAAGAAATCGAAGGTCTTGTTCGGTTAACTTGCCTAGCGCTTGCTCGGAACCACCAACAGTCCTGCGCAAAAGCATTCGATAATCATTCTCGATACTATAAAACTATGATGACTTACCCTTCAAAAACCAGCTGCTTCTTCTCCTGTAGTTTGAGAATGCGTTCTTCCACAGAATTCTCGATAACGAATCTAGTCACCCTGGATTTAAATCGAAGGTTTAGTTGCTGGAACACCTCTTCCTTAAGAATGCCTACCTGATGGGCTTGTATTGGCCTATGCGGTGGATTCTGTCTTGAGCTTGATGCTCCACTGCTGGATTCCACCACGGGTCCATCAAAAAAATCTGCAAAAACAAAAAAGGATACGTTCGTTAAGCTCGCAGCACAAGCCAAGACGAAGCTTACGTATGATGCTACAGTTAGATTGAGCGCCACGCCGCCGGCCTTGAGACTCATGAGGAAGAGCTTACACTCTGGGTCGTTCCTAAATGTGTCAATGGCAGTGCTTCGCTGAGACAAGGACATGCCACCATCGAGTTTTACACATTTGACTCCAGCCTGCATGAGAAAACTGGCTAGTAAAAAGAGCTTCCAAAGGCAGAGCTAGAACTTACGAGTTCAAAAGAGTATCCAATCAAGTCCAGCATTGACGTAAACTGGCTGAATACCAGACCCTTGGCAGATGTATCCTTCGAGATCATCTTCTTAACTTCCTCCTTCTGCGATCGGCAATAAGGATAAAGGAAACTGTGAATTTGTTCAGCTACTCACCAGAGCCTCGATTTTGGTGCTTGTAACGAAATCATTCAAATCCAGTCTGTTGATGATGCTCCCTTTTCTATAGCCTGTTAACTTCTTTCCAACAACCTTTGAGCTCTTGGCATCAACCGTGAGAGGCGTCTCGCATCTTGGGCAAGCTATCTTGGTGTCCTCGGAGCCTTCCGACAGTAAATTCTCCAGACATGATCGACAAAACGTGTCCTTGCATTTTGCAGACTGCAGACATTGTTGAAGTCAGCTGCCAAGGAGAAAATACTACATACCACAGGATCAATGCAGTCCTCGTCACAAATTACACAGAGAGGAGTAGTCACAGATACTCCCGACGCGCCAGTAGCAGAGTGAACGACAAGATAAGGATGGTCCACTGCCTGGCGTAATCTGGTAAGCAGGTCAAATATGTGACCATAGTTGTTGAGAACGGATCCTTCTTTCACGTATCTGGAGCCCGGCATTGTCAACTCGTCGTTTAGAAAAGATCTAAGACTTACGTGTTAAAGACGGATTTGCTCTGTGAGTATAAAGACTGATAATAATCATCCTCTTTGGCATCAAAAACTACCTTCCGCACGAACGACTGCAGGCCAGAGCGCATTCAGAATGAAGTCCATCAAACAAACACATTTAGAGAAGTCCCACCAGTTTTGGAGGCATAGAGAGGTCTGCTGCACGTTCGATTTTGGTCCGCCGCAGGAGCATTTCATCCAGCAGCTTTTGCCTCAGTAACTTCATAGATTTCCCACCTCCCTGTTGAAATCCGAACCTTGAAATAGGCTGAGCAATAAACTGCAAAGAACAAGCGGTTCAAATGTGTCCATAATACAGGCAAAACTTACTTTGTTCCACCAACAAAAATGAAGTGTGCTGGCGTGCTCACACTTATCGCACATTGTCGCCCTACAACAGAACATCAACATCCGAGAGAAAACAACACATCGAAACTTACGAGTATTCGAGCGATTTACAGTCACACTTCTTACAGAAAAAATACGCATAAGGATTTATTTCCAAATAACGAACCTGCAGATAAAAGGAAAAAAAAAGTCAAGCCAAGAAAAAAACAACCGTGAAATATCCTTACAAGTGAATAAAGTTCGCCAACGCGATTCTGCAGCGGTGTACCACTTAAGCCCCACTTGTAACAAGACTGCAGTGCAAACACCGACTTGGCAGTATTGGAGGCTCTATCCTTTATCGTGTGTGCCTGAAATCCGTATGGTAGAGTCACACGCTAGAGTTGGGACGTATCATACCTCATCGAGGATAATTCGCACCCATTTCACGGAATGCAGAAGCGAAAAATCATCTTTGGCCGCACTCCCTTTCCTCTGATTCACCACCTTCTTCACTTCCTTTTTTTTTCCCTTCTTCTGCTTGGATTGCGCCGCACTCTTTTTGGCCTCGGGTCCACAGTGATACTTGTAATGCTTCGCCAACCCTTGCGCGGAGTAAGCTTTCTGGCACCATTTGCACCTCAGCTTGTCGGGCAGGATCTTGCGATAGTCGTGCTCGATAATCGAATACGTCGTCAAAACCACGTCGTGCTTGGCCAACTCCTTGACAGTTATATGCTTCCGGTTTCCATGGTAGATAAGCACCTTCAAAGTCCCTTCCTTGGTGAACCGTTCTATCTCACTCTTCCACTGCTCGATTGCCACCACCGGACAAACCACCAGAGTCGTGTTGAGATTTTTCGCATCAGGAGCATTCGGGTCGTGCCCGTGTCCTGCTGTTCTGCCTGCAATGATGAGTGAGATGGCCTGGATAGTTTTTCCCATCCCCATCTCGTCGGCAAGAACACCACCCCGCATGTTTGACTCCTCCCGCGACAAACTCCACGTTAGAAACTCCCCTTGAAACGGCAGCAGTGGAAACACGAGCTCCGATGGCGTCTCGTGCTGCGCCAGGACTTTCTTCTTCGGCTGATCCTCTTCCATGTCGTCGTCACCCCATCTGCTGCATTTCCCCATCTTCACTATATCCGTCTCCAACTCTCGAGCCCACTGCTTCCATTCCAAGTTCTCGGTGGCGGGATCATAGTTGTCGTCGTCATCCTCGTCTTGCACAGCCTTCTTGCTCTTTTTCGCTTTCTTCCTTCTGCTTGGCCCCGTCCAGTCCTCGAACTCGTCTCTGGTGCCATACCGTCGCTTTGGAGCTATTACCGTTGGAAATGGCGGTGCTGTGGCAACAGAGCCAGAGAGTAGCTTGACGTCCACATCTTCCTCCATTTTTACTTTGCCCGGAGCACTGATATCACTGGCCTCTTCTTCGTCACTGGTCTCGGCGTTTTGGAAGCTCTCCTCTGATGGGTCCATCTTCTCAGATCGATGCGATTCGACGGACTCGCCGTCGGAATGGCTGCCGCTAGCTGCATGGCGCGGATCGTGAGCTACAAGTGAAACAAACAGAAATTAACTCACCATCGTCTTCTGCACGATAATCTTCATCCTCGCTCTCGCTCCATGCTGCCAGGACAAGCACGCCGATTCATTGCTGTGGACGAGGAAAGGGGGCGACACCATACCTTGCCTCTTGCTGCCCCTTTTGCCGCCCGCCATCGCCGCTTCGCCCTAGCAACCCTAAGGCTCCCAGTTTTTTGGCGCGAGATTTTATGTCCGGCCGCTACAAAGCTTCGCACACAAGACCCTCTGCTTTTAGGTGGATAATTTAAGCAAGATTCCCTGCCACGTTTGCCCTTAGGGTTTGCAAATTATTATTAACAACTCGTTGAACCGTCGATAAGCAAAATCTTGCAAATCGTGGCGGCGAAGAAAAGAAAAAAATTCACAGCAACAGTACCAGATTTTCTTCCCCGACCCCGATCGATCGATCGATAGATCTAGCGAGCTCGTGGATCTCCCCGATCGATCGATAGATATAATTTTAGCTCATGGATCACGAACTTGATAGTTGTGGATGCGGTGGAGAGTATGATCCAGGGGACGATGGCGACAACGAGGAGGACGTGGATGCTTGAGCTATGCTCCTGGGACCAAATCCCTGCTCGATCGATCTCGCCAGCGACGCCGCCCGCCGGTGCTCAATGTATTTCTTCGTCTTGCACACGTAGAGCACCAGCGCCCCGATCGAAGCCACAAAGAACACGATCACAACCACAATTGCGATCTTCTCGCCTGGGCTGTGCGACACGACAGCGTCTCGAGTTGCATTCTGGACAACACCTGCGTGATCCGGAGAAGCCGCTGGTGCCGTGATTTCGAGATCATCCGGAGATATCGTCTTCTCCAAGAACTTGGGACGAGATTCTGCTGGAGAGTTATGCTCTAGCGTTTGTCGCCTCCCTGTCGCCTGCTCCGATTTGATCAAACCAGGGATTTCCACTCCAAAGCTATGATCCTCATGATACCTGATGACATGTTTCGCTGGCAACAATCTATTGCCGCTGGCGACATTGGGTTCCAGCACCAAAACCAGAAGAATCACAAGCACCACTGCCACATTCATGAGAAGTGAGCTTCTCCCAGCCATAGCGTCCACAGAAAAAGTGCCACTATGTGATGGCAATGTTGTGTGGCGATCAATTTAATGACCTCAAGGTTGATTAAATCAAGTAGCCTGGAAGCTGCAGTGGGACGCATTAGGAAACTTCTCATAGACGTGGAAAATCCTCATGACTTCTTTAAGATTATTCTGAAATATTTGCTCGGAATTTAGTCAACCAGTGGGACATAGATCAGGTCAAAAGAGAAGAAAAACCTAGTTAACAAGTTCGTTGAAAGATGCGTTTAATCCACAGGATGTGATCAACGTGATTTGCCTGTAATCGAGATGGGCCCAGACGATAAGCCAACACACGTAGGCATGAAGATTGCGTCCCGGGCTCTTACACGTAATTCCAGCATTGAAATCTCAGCAATGCATTCATGTGGTTCCATCCACTAGCAGATCTATCTGTGGCGGTCGCGTCCCTCAGCCATTGCGCGTTGTTCTTCATCGCTTGCGATTTCTCCGCTGGAATGACAGAACGTTTTCACGCTCGCTATTGCTCTGCAACATCACCGTCAGCAATCCTCAGCAACGGTATACCTCAAAAGGTATTGTTCAAGTTCCAATGCGATTGGTGGTTCTAGAGCGAGCTTCTCCTCAATCAGAAGCACGAAACACATCCACAGTTCGTGCTCACCGGTGAGCAGGGCAGAAAGATTCATCCACTTCCAGTGCCGCTCTGCAACAACAGAGGCACCAATGAGCAGCGGCAGCAGCAGCAATACAGCAACAAGGAGCAAATCATGCAGCTCTACAAGTACCTTAGCTCCAGAGGCGGGATGATCGAGGAGGAGCTGGCATGTCGAACCTCGTCAAATCATGCCCCGCACAACTCCACAAAGCAATACGCTACTGCACAGCGGACGAAGAAGGTAGGCACTTGGCATCGCTGTGTATCGCTGCTTGCGAGCCCATGCAGCACTTCGAGATGTGGATGGCGATCATACTCACGACTGACGACCTCCCATGCATGGACAATGCAAGGACGAGGAAAGGAAGGGCTGCGGCACACGTAGAGTTCGACGACACCACTGCTATCCTCGCGGCACAAGCACTTGCGGCACTGGCTTTCGGGAGGGTCGTGGACTCCACGCTCGTCTTGGCGGACAAGAGGCTGAGGCTGGTCAAGAAATTCTCTCTCTCAATGCAGAGGCTTGTGTATGGACAGTACGACGACGTCAAGAAGGGAGAGGTTGGAAACACTCGAGGAACCCAACGCCAAGAACACCAACAAGGCGAGCTCCTTCTTCGAGCTGCCGCTGGTAGCGACTATAGTCGGCGGCGCCGGCGAGGAGGAGATTGAGGGCCTGAGGAGATTTGGGCGATATTTTCGGCCTCATGTGGCAAGTGAACGACGATCTAAGCGACGCGACCATGACGGCGGAGGAGATGGGCAAGGCGAGTAGTGAATTTGCTCTCTAATCACAGGTAAAGTGAATCTAATTCTTTTGCCGCCCGCCATCGCCGCTTCGCCCTAGCAACCAAGTTTTTTGGCGCGAGATTTTATGTCCGCTTTTAGGTGGATAATTTTGCCACGTTTGCCCTTAGGGTTTGCAACATTATTATTAACAACTGTCGATAAGCAAAATCTTGCAAATCGTGGCGGCGAAGAAAAAGAAAAAAATTCACAGCAACAGTACCAGATTTTCTTCCCCGACCCCGATCGATCGATCGATCGATAGATCTAGCGAGCTCATGGATCTCCCCGATAGATATAATTCTAGCCCATGGATCACGAATTTGATAGTTGTGGATGCGGTGGAGAGTATGATCCAGGGGACGATGGCGACAACGAGGAGGACGTGGATGCTTGAGCTATGCTCCTGGGACCAAATCCCTGCTCGATCGATCTCGCCAGCGACGCCGCCCGCCGGTGCTCAATGTATTTCTTCGTCTTGCACACGTAGAGCACCAGCGCCCCAATCGAAGCCACGAAGAACACGATCACAACCACAATTGCGATCTTCTCGCCTGGGCTGTGCGACACGACAGCGTCTACAGTTGCATTCTGGACAACACCTGCGTGATCCGGAGAAGCCGCTGGTGCCGTGATTTCGAGATCATCCGGAGATATCGTCTTCTCCAAGAACTTGGGACGAGATTCTGCTGGAGAGTTATGCTCTAGCGTTTGTCGCCTGGGCGATGCAAACGCTGTCGCCTGCTCCGATTTGATCAAACCAGGGATTTCCACTCCAAAGCTATGATCCTCATGATACCTGATGACAAGTTTCGCTGGCAACAATCTATTGCCGCTGGCGACATTGGGTTCCAGCACCAAAACCAAAAGAATCACAAGCGCCACTGCCACATTCATGAGAAGTGAGCTTCTCCCAGCCATAGCGTCCACAGAAAAAGTGGCACTATGTGATGACAATGTTGTGTGGCGATCAATTTTCTGACCTCAACGTTGATTTAAATCAAGTAGCCCGGAAACTAGCGAAAAACCATGGAACCTGCAGTGGGACTCATTAGGAAACTTCTACCGTTCAACAGCATAGACGTGGAAAACTTTCTTTAAGTATTCTGAAATATTTGCTCGAAATTTTTAGCAACTGGTGAGATAGTGGGTCATAGATCCGGTCAACCCAACACATTCGGGAAAAAAGAGAGAAAAACCTTGCTTTAGTTTAAAGTTTCCTTGCAGGTGGAAGGTCGGGTCCAAACAAACTCTGACCTGCAAGCGCTAGTTCACAAGTTCGTCATCCTGGATGCGTTTAATCCACAGGATGTGATCAACGTGATTTGCCTGTAACCGAGATGGCCCCAGACAATAAACCAACACACGCAGGCATGAAGATAGCGTCCCGGGCTCTTACACGTAATTCCAGCGTTGAAAGCTCGGCAATGCATTCATGTGGTTCCATCCACTAGCAGATCTATCTGTGGCGGTCGCGTCCCTCAGCCATTGCGCGTTGTTCTTCATCGCTTGCGATTTCTCCGCTGGAATGACAGAACGTTTTCACGCTCGCTATTGCTCTGCAACATCACCGTCAGCAATCCTCAGCAACGGTATACCTCAAAAGGTATTGTTCAAGTTCCAATGCGATTGGTGGTTCTAGAGCGAGCTTCTCCTCAATCAGAAGCACGAAACACATCCAAAGTTCGTGCTCACCGGTGAGCAGAGCAGAAAAATTCATCCACTTCCAGTGCCGCTCTGCAACAACAGAGGCACCATTGAGCAGCAGCAGCAGCAGCAGCAATACAGCAAACAAGGAGCAAATCATGCAGCTCTACAAGTACCTTAGCTCCAGAGGCGAGATGATCGAGGAGGAGCTGGACAAAATCATGTCGAACCTCGTCAAATCATGCCCGGCACAACTCCACAAAGCAATACGCTACTGCACAGCGGACGAAGAAGGTAGGCACTTGGCATCGCTGTGTATCGCTGCTTGCGAGCTGGTGGGAGGAGACCGCCACGCAGCACTTCCAATGGCTTGCACCATCGAGATGTGGATGGCGATCATACTCACGACTGACGACCTCCCATGCATGGACAATGCAAGGACGAGGAAAGGAAGGGCTGCGGCACACGTAGAGTTCAACGACACCACTGCTATCCTCGCGGCACAAGCACTTGCGGCACTGGCTTTCGGGACGGTCGTGGACTCCACGCTCGTCTCGGCGGACAAGAGGCTGAGGCTGGTCAAGGAATTCTCTCTCTCAATGCAGAGGCTTGTGTATGGACAGTACGACGACGTCAAGAAGGGAGAGGTTGGAAACACTCGAGGAACTCAACGCCAAGAACACCAACAAGACGAGCTCCTTCTTCGAGCTGCCGCTGGTAGCGGGGGCTATAGTCGGCGGCGCCGGCGAGGAGGAGATTGAGGGCCTGAGGAGATTTGGGCGATATTTCGGCCTCATGTGGCAAGTGAACGACGATCTAAGCGACGCGACCATGACGGCGGAGGAGATGGGCAAGGACGCGAGTAATGACGCCAAGAATCGCATGACAACATACTTGACGCTGCTGGGAGCCAAGAGGAGCGCGCAGCTGCGAGACGAGCTTGCGAATCGAGCCCAGGAGGCGCTGCTCCAGCGCTTCCCCGCCAAGAATGTGAAGATCCTGCTAGGAATCGTGGAGGCGACACGCCGATTTGGCTCGATCTACAAGAACTCTCAGCTCCTTTCCAAAATCTAAAATATCTATTCTAGGCTAAAGTATCGCAACCGTTGGAAAAATGTATACGGCTAGGGTCCTAGCTTGCTGGCTTGTGGCGATGGAGCTTGACCAGCGTAGCGTAGGCGCCATTGGGCTTTGTGATGAGCTCCTCGTGGCTGCCCTGTTCCACAATCCCTCCATTCTTCACCACCGCAATCATGTCCACGCCCACAATCGTGGACAATCGATGCGCCACAACCACGCTCGTCTTGCCCACCATGATCCGATCCAGCGCTTCCTGGACCAGCCTCTCCGACTCTGCATCCAGCGCGCTCGTTGCCTCGTCCAGGAGTAAGATCTTGGGCTCCTTGAGCACCGCCCTCGCGATCGCGATCCGCTGCTTCTGCCCGCCCGAGAGCTGGATTCCCCTCTCCCCGACCTCGGTCTCGTATCCTCCCGGCATCGCGGAGATGAAGCTGTGCGCGTTGGCGGCCTTGGCGGCCGCGGTGATCTCTTCCTCGCTCACGGGCGCGCCGCTCTCTTTCCCATACGCGATGTTGGACCGGATGCTGCCGCTAAACAGTGTGGGCTCTTGGCTGACCAGGGCGATGTTTTGTCGGAGCCAGCGTAGCTTGAGCGATCGAATGTCAACGCCATCGATGAGAATGCTGCCCGAATCTGGGTCGTAGAACCTCTCCAGTAGCGAGATGACTGTGGACTTGCCGCTTCCACTCTCGCCGACCAGCGCCATGGTCTGCGCAACACAGAAAACAGACCGGGAAATTTCAAATTCGAAAATTTAAAAGGGAGACGTACCTTGCCCGCGGGGATGGAGAAGCTCAAGTTTCGGAAGATCTCCGCCTCGTGCCGCGCTGGATAGCGGAATCTCACGTTCCGGAACTCGATGTCTCCGCGAGTCGATTCCAGCGTCTTGCCTTCCTCGTTGGAAGGATCTATCTTTGATTTCCTGTCCAGAGTCGCGAAGATCGAGTTCACTCCCGCTTTCACCTTTGCAAAGTCGGGGGCGAGCGACACTCCCTGAGCTATGCCGAATGCGCTCATCGTGATCGCAAAGAACACCTGGAGGATCACGAAGTAAGATCAACCATGCAAGCCTCTCAAAGTGCTTACCTTAAACACGTTTTGGAAGCTTGTTTTGCCCTCCCTGACAAGACGAGCTCCAAACCAAAAGCTGAAGGCATAGGCTGCGAACATAACGAAGCTCGAAAGGCCGAGACCGATTCCACTCACAACTCCGTTGCGAATCCCGTTCCTGGTTGGGATGGAGCACTTTGTTTTGTAAAGCTCCAGCATTTTAGCTTCGAGGCAGTAAGAGCTCACAGTACGAATGCTGCTCACTGCATCGTTTGCGATTTTTGTGGCCTCTTCATACATGACCTGTGCGTGCATACAAGGAGGATGTAAGCAAAACATTGATCGAGAAAAACATAAAACGAAGGTGGAAAACTTACCTTCGCATCTTTGCTGAAACCGATCATCATCTTGGTCTGGACTACGCCTTGAGCTCCGAGTAGTGGAATAAGTGCCAAGACAACAAGTGACAATATCCAGTTTGCAGTGAACGCGATGACGAGCCCTGCAATGAGTGACGCCAGATTTTGCAGCAGCAGCGACAAGGAATCGCCAACCATGCTCTTGACATGAGCAGCATCTACTGAGAGCCGGGAACTGATTGCTCCACTAGAAAAAAGGAAAGAAAAACCTTAGAAAAACTTTCGAAATAGAGCTAGTCAAAGCTACCTTGAATTGGACGGATCGTCAAACCAGGCAATCTCCTGACGAACGACGGACTCGAACGATCTCTTCCGGACTCGTCGAATGAGTCTCTGGCCGATGAATCCGAAGGCGCTGAGTTGTATGGGAGAGATGATCAAGCACGCGGAAGCTTGTACCAGGAACATGCTCGCCCAGAAGTTGGCGTCGTGTCTCAGCTTGTGCCGGTTCGTGCTGTACAAAACTCCGAAAATGTTGGACAGAAGCAGGCCGAAGACCGGAAACACCACACCGTTTGCAGTGGAAGCAAGAGCTCCAACGATGAAAACCGGTGTTTCTGGCTTGTTCATAGCTGCGAGGCGAAGAAAGTTGTTCCGGGTTACTCCTGTTTTTCCGTCGCTCTTGTCGGCCTGCTCTGGATCGACACTCGCCGTTCTAGTCAAGGAGAACGAACTTCGAGTTACGTTGCGTTTGCTTCCAAACGATCCACGGCTGCTACTCCTGCTCAGCCTTCGTTCATCCAGCTCTTGATCGATTACTACCACCTCGTCTGGATCGATTGCTTGAGCAGCGCTCAAGCTCTGGTTTGACTTCACCTCGTGCATTTCTTGGAGACGAACTAGTTGTTCGTAAGCTCCATCTGGCCTCTGAATAAGTTCCGAGTGTGTCCCTGCAAAGATACGAGCGTGACTTGGATGATCTAGAGGAGTTTCAAAAGGTGTAGATTTACCTTTCTCCACAATGCTTCCTCTTTGAACAACAGCGATGCAGTCTGCGTTTTTGATCGTGGAAAGCCTGTGAGCGACGATCACTGTTGTCCTGTTCACCATGATCCGGTCCAATGCTTCCTGCACCACTCGCTCCGACTCGGCATCCAAAGCGCTGGTTGCCTCGTCCAGCAGAAGAATGCGAGGATTTTTTAGTATAGCTCTAGCGATGGCCACCCTTTGCTTCTGTCCGCCAGAAAGCTGAGTCCCGTGCTCTCCAACTTGTGTGTCGAATCCCTTAAAGGTTGGACGCAAACAAAAGATAACTATGGAACTTTCCATGAAAACTTTGAAAGCATTTACCTTTGGCATCTTGCTGATAAACTTCGCAGCGTTCGCAAGGCGAGCAGCTTCCATAATCTCCTCCTCAGTCGCTCCCTCTCTGCCATAAGCAATGTTCTCTCTGATGGAGGTTGCAAACAAAACCGGTTCCTGGCTGACGAGTCCGATCTGTTGGCGTAGCCACTTCGGCTGGAGCTTCCGGATGTCGACACCATCGATCAAAACCTCGCCAGCCTGAGGATCATAAAACCTCTCGATCAAGCTTATCACCGTCGACTTGCCGCTGCCACTCTCCCCGACCAAAGCAACTGTTGTCCCAGACGGGATTTCCAGATTGAAGCTCGTAAACACCGGGACATCTGGACGTGTGGGATACGAAAAGGTGACGTCCCGAAGCTCGATATCGCCCTTCACACTCTCTAGTGTTTGTCCGCTCATGTCAAAGGCATCAATCAGAGGGACTCGACGAATGACTTCGAACATCTTGTAAGCTGCAGCTCTTCCGGATGCTATCGCAGTAATACTGGGTGAAGTTTGTCCCAAAGACCTGAGAAAAGAGAAAGGTTTGCTGCTTCTGAAACGTTCTAAAACACTTACATGCCTCCGGTGAGCACAGCAAACAAGACACTGATGACATCTCCACCCGAGTATCCACCGTTTAAAACCAGCTTTGATCCGTACCACAGCGCTAGACCATAGCTGGAAAACATGGTGAACAGCGTGAAACCAAGGCCAGCTCCCGATGCGACTCCTTCAAAAACTCCAGCTTTGTACGCTTTCGTAAGTGCTGTCTCGTAGTCAGCCATGGACTTACGCTCGCCAGTAAACGAAGCCACCTGTAAAAAAAGTCGTGAAATTCGTGCTGGCCTGGAAGTTTCATCTTGGACCTTCTGGTGCAAAGAAAAAACACTTACAGTTCTGATGCCTCCAGTGACTTGTTCCACCACAACTGCCGCCTCGGCGTAAGCTTTCTGGCCTCGACTCGCCATTTTGGACATGAGATTGGCCATCATCCCTCCAGCAAAAACGAGCAGAGGCATCACGGACATCATCACTAGCGTGAGCTTCCAGCCTTTGATGAAGGCAATTACAAAACCACCAAAGAAAGCGGTGGTGAATTGGATGAGCTTCGACACCTGCGAGAAAGAAGAGCGCTCACACATTTCCATCCCGAAGTTTCTCGAGTTTTTCTGTACCTTTTCACCCATTGCATCTTGTATGAGGATTGTATCTCCGGACATTCGACCGATCACTTCTCCCGTCTTGGTTTCTTTGTCAAAAAAGGAGATGTCTTGTCGCAGAATGGCTTTGAGATACAAGTTTCGAATCCTCGCGGCTTGTCTCTCTCCGGTGCACATCCAGCACGCAAGTTCTGTAAAACCGCCGCACGATCACACTGCGTACAAAAAAACGTGGAAATAATACTTACGAAACAAAGATCCAATAGAAGCCACGATCCCGAGATACACAAACCTTAACGACACCTGATTCAGTCCATCGAGAAACTTAGAAACAGAGTAAAATATTCCGCTTCTCCTTCTTTTCTTTTTTTTCTTTCTTTTTCTTTTTTTTCTTCTTCTCGATCGAGAATGAATGACTTTACCTTGGAGACTTCCCTGGAGAGGCGATCCACATCGCTCACGTTCTGCCCAAACGAATCCGTCAGCTCGCCGAAGACAATCGCCATGAGCGGCATCGTCATTCCGTTTGCCACAGCGCCGACAGTTCCCAGCACCATGAGGAGGACATCCATCCAATCCGCGAAGCTGAAGAGCTTGAAAATGGGGACAACTTGAGTCGCGGACTGATCATCTTGCACTGCTGCTGCTGCTGCGTTCGATCCAGCGACATCCTTTTCTACCATTCTCGAGCTCGAGCTCGAAAAAACAGAGGAGGACAAAGTGGAGCTCTATGTACCTGGGAGTGGGAGCGACCTTTATTGGAAGAAGAAAGCTTAAGCGCCAAGAAAAATACCTAGGCAGCTACTACCATGCTGTTCCGGTCAAGGTTCGGGACCCAAAAACGACAGCGCCCATGCGTTAAACTATGCATTTCATGCTCATTTCCAAGTCGGTTCCTTGGAAATATCTAATTGTAGTATATTGTACCTGCTTAGGCCAAAGCATTAAAAGTTAAAGAAAGACATGGGCTATTTAACATCAGAGCTTCTAGCTTCATCCAGCAAAAATGGAGCAATACTCTGTGGCTACCATATTGCCCCCACCACCACAGCTTCTATCAAAGGCAAAATGTGTAAATGCTTTATTTTCTTGATGGAAGCTGATTTGATATGACTATACTTTTTATAAAGATGTTATGTTTTCACCAGCAGAAGAATGGAAATTTTAAAGGTATAAAGTTGTTCATATTCTTGTGGTTCTGTACTAGCCTCATATGAAGAAAATCCAAGACAATACAAAGATGTGCAAATTTTAAGTTGTGACATAGTTTGATCGAGCATGGCTGTATGCCTTGCCACTTAGAACGCTTAATAGCAAAAAACCAGCATTTGCCCTAATATAACAATTGGTATACTTATGAATACACTTTATTTGTTGGATAAGATAATAAGAGTGGCAATATCATACATTTTGACACTTTTTTATATAGAGAGGTGGTAGTCACCGAAGATTCATGTGTGTGGTTCAGCTACAATTGCCTCACTATAAATGAAATTATCCAAGTATTTAATAAAATATTATAATTTAGAAGACATAACAGGCTCAAATTATAATTTATAATCACAAGATCAATCTAAATGAATATTAACCATTAAATGATTAAAATATACTAAAATATCTGAGCATATTCTAGGTATTATCCACTACCAGCTAACATGTTAAATATTAAAATAATTTGCTATTGTAAGGTCCAAGTGTACAATTAAAATACCATAAACTAATATTAATAGCTATACAATCTTAGTGTAATTTTAATAGCCATCAAATTGGTTTCAATCAAACCACTCACTCTTATATATAAACTAGGATTTTTGAGCTAATTGATATGCACATTTCTATATTTCATTTATATATTTTATACACATATTGGTGAAGATGAAGGGCAATTTTAATTGTCCCTGAAGAGTTTTTTTTATTTGGGATTTTGGTTTAAATCTAACTTTGCATCAATTAGATCTTATTTTCCTTACAATTTTCTTTCTTTTTTTTCCTTTTTTTTCCTTTTTCCTTTTTCATTCATCTTCATGGTAGAGTAGTAACCTCCTTCTCTTTTAACTCTAAAGTAGTAATTGGTGCAATTGCTAAATGCTATACAAAACAATTAGACTCAATTGATGATGGCATTTATGACATGTGGTACAACTCTTCTTGCTTTTGTTGCCAATCTTACATTTGGTCAGAGTTCTTTTGTGGAAATCCTAGCATTAATTCAATCACTTTACAATGATTGTTATATATTATTCTTGGGATGATGCTTAGTGTTTACATGAGTTTCTTATGTGTTTTCAAAGGACGGTATTGTAGTAATATAATGGTTTGAGTTCAACCACTTATGCAGATTAGAGCATTCTCCCAGGCCCCTTCATATGTGCATTTGGACATATTAATAATTGTAATAGTGCCTTCCAACAATTGTATTGTTTTTGTTAAGAGCCATATGAGATATTGATGTAATTTGTCATTCATTTCCAAAGCCTTTTGCATCATGCAGAGCTAAATATATAGAAGTGGATTAAGTTGAGAATATTGTGGACAACACTTCATCAATATCTTGTAAGATTTATATATGCACTTACTTTAACCACCTTTGATGATGCTTTTCACATAGCACGACATTAACATCTTCCATTTTTCGTTGTACATCCTTTAGCTCCACTTCTTATGGGAGGCATTACTAGGCATGTAATAAGGTTGGTCACACGTATTAATGTTATTGGCATTTTCCGGATTGGCATTCTCAATTTCCTAATTGGAGACTTTAGTGTCAATAACGTCCTTTTCATGCTCAATTTCCTAATTGGAGACTTTAGTGTCAATAACGTCCTTTTCATGCTATTACAGTAGAAGGTCTAGACACCAAAATGTTTCCAAGAAACGAGGAGTTGCGTGAGTAATTGACAGTCTTTACACAAATAAGTTGGTGACCCCTCCCTTCTTTTGAGAGTATCATCAAAGGGGTTTTGTTAGGCGCCAGCTTTGACTACATAGTCGACTTCGGTCAAAGGGAGGCTCAAGGGTATATTAAGGCATGTTAGGGTAAGGGACTAAACCTACCCTAAGGCTCACAGTGGAGCTTTTGAGGTAGCTCGGGGGTGGTTGGGTGGTGAGGAACCTCAAGAGGTTGTGTAGTATAGTCTAGGGTGACTAGATCTCTATCTTTTTGCGCCAAATCATAACATTGGTATCAGAGGAGTTGGTTGTGATGGCTGACCAAGCTGAATGTTGAAATCCTATTGTCGATGGTGGTGCTGACGATGGTGCTGACGAAGCTGCAGAGATTTGGACCATTCAAGATGTGGTTTATGAGCTGTGAGCCCTTAATCGAAATCAGTAAGAAATGCAAGACAAGATGCATGGCATGATGGATACCATGCGTGGGCGTGTTGAGGCACTTGAGGCTGGACGGGGTAGCGCTCCAAGTAAGCCTTCTTTGGTAGATCGACTCAAGATTCCAACTTTTTCCTGTGATGGTGGTATGGACGAGTGTCTCGCTTGGCTAGCCAATGTGAAGAAGTTCTTGGTTGCTAGAGGAACTCCAGATGCTGAGGCTTTAGTGGCTATTCCGATGGTTTTGCATAATGCGGGTCTTCAATGGTGGAATTGGCTTGAGGAGTCCCGTGTTGTGGATAAGAAACCACCAGTGTTTACCATGGATGAGTTTGAGGCTGCTTTCTATTTACGTTTTGCCCCTCATTATGACGTGGAGAATGCTCGTATAGAACTTCGACATTTCCAGCAAGGGAAATGACACTCGGGGACTATATTGAGAAGCTTACTCACTCGATTAGTCGTGTTCCAACGAAGGATCCAGATCAGAACAAGTCCTACTTCATTGATGGCCTACATAGTGAGAGCATGCGGCAACACTTGCGTCATTCTCAGCCTACAAAGAGTTTGGAGGAGCTCTTTGATGCAGCTCGTCGACTTGACAATGACAAGCACAAGTCTCGCAAGCGTTCGTGGAGTCCTTCTGCCGAGATTCGTCGTGATGATCGCCGTGGACACAAGGATGGGAACAAGCATCACAAGTTGAAGTCAGTGGTGACTACTTCAGATGCAAAGGGGTCCAAGAAGCAGAAGTTCTTTGTGAAGAATTATAGACAGGGTTGTCATCATTGCAGCGAACTTGGACACTACAAGACTGATTGTCTGCAATTGAAGAACAAGCAGCAGGACAAAAAGAATGGCCAATCTTCTTCTCACGGTAAGTCAGATACTAAAAAGTTGCAAACTTTACAGTGTGAGGATGAGGAGAATGACCATTCCGGTCGGAGAAAGTGACTTTCGATCGTTGCTCGTTAGCTCAACTGTGTGTGGAACAAGACTGGATAGTGGAAGCGATGACAACTTTGTTTTGGCAAAATTTGTTGCGGAGCATAGCCTGGTCACACGCGGTGTTATTCCATACACAGTGGAAGGTGTAACTACCTCTACTTAGCATTTTGATGCTTGTGTCGAGGGGCTAGAAGTGTTGGTTGGCAAAACCACACTTGTGGAGACTTTTTATCTCGTGGATATCCATCGTGTGGATTTTATTCTCAGGATGCCATGGTTGGTGAAGGTGGATCCAGAGATAAAGTGGAGTATTAAGCGTATCTTGCTAAAGTATGGTGGCGTTAAAGATGTGTGGTTTGGCGAGGGCGTTCAACCACCAGTTGTTATGCTCTCTACTACATCTTTGAAGCGGGCTTGTCGTAATGGAAAAACACTTTCGAGTTACTTGCTGTTTGTTCGTGACTTGGGGGACCAAGGCCCGTGTGGGGGAGAAGCAGTAGTACGGGATGTACTAGACGAGTTTTCTAATGTTTTTCCACATGAACTTCCTCATGGGTTGCCTCCATTACGAGGTGTGGAGCTTTTGGATTACATTGGAGCTGGGGATGCGGCCAATTTACTAGCGTCCATTTCGGTTAAGTTATGCAGAGGAGCAAGAAGTTCAACGACTAGTCAAGGAGTTACTTGAATTTGGATTTATTCAACTAAGTAAGTCTCCGTTTGGTGCTCCAATTTTGCTTGTGAAGAAGAAGGACAGTTCAATGCGGATGTGTATTGACTATCGCGCTTTAAACAAAAAGACAGTGAAGGATAAGATGCCGATGCCATGTGTGGATGATATCCTAGACAAGCTTGGTGAAGCACGAGTGTTTACCAAGATTGATCTGAGGAGTGGATATCATCAAATTGTAATGGATGATGCATCTATCTCCAAGACGGCATTCAACACAAGCTTCAGACATTTTGAGTTTACAGTTATGCCGTTTGGTTTGACGAATGCACCGGCCACATTTACTCGGTTGATGACAGAGGTATTCGGGCATTATCTTCATGAGTTTGTGGAGATTTTCTTGGACGATATTCTTGTTTTTAGCAAAAATATGGAGGAGCATAGGGTGCATTTGCGCAAGGTTCTTTTGTTACTTCGAGACAGCAAACTTTATGTGAAGAAGAGCAAATGTGAATTTGCAAAGTCGGAGGTGGAATATCTAGGCCATATTGTGACATCTAAGGGTGTCAAGATGGATCTAAGGAAGGTGGCTGTGGTGGAAAATTGGCCTACACCAACTACAGTGTCCGAGTTGCACAATTTTCTTGGTATGGCTAGTTACTACCAACGTTTCCAGCATAAGTTTGCCGAAGTGGCTATTCCTTTGACGCGATTGTTACGCAAGAATGTGCCATTCGAGTGGAAGAAGCCACAAGAGGAGACTTTTATGGCGCTGAAATGATTGTTGAGCGAGACTCCAGTGCTTCGCATTGCTGATCCATCGAAACTTTACGAGGTGACATGTGATGCGAGTGGTTATGCACTAGGAGGA